GGCGCCTGCAGCGCTATTGAGTGGAGACTCCCCGCATGGACTATAGTCGCAGCTGCATCGAAATATCTCGACAAGTCTACGGTATATGAAGCTGAATATGAGGGCATGTTATTGGGCTTTGACCTGTTGGATCCACTGGAGCGACGGCGTTTGATTATTTTTGGAGCCCACCTGTTGCTTTACGCACTGCAGTGAGACGACTTGATCTCACGTACATGTCCCGCTTTAACTCAATTGCCGAAGAACTCATCGATGTAATCGACTTGTTCCTTCGGCAACGGCCATTGCCTGGTCACACAATACTTGGTGCCAGGTTCCAGGTCAATTTCGTGCCTGATGCCCCTATCGGCCGGTAGGCGGCTCGGCACTTCTGCTGGAAACACATCACGGTGTTTCCACAGAACATCATCGAACGGGCTGTCCTTCGAGGCTTCCCAGCCTTAAACAGCAGACAGTTTCTTCTTGTCGGTTCCCAAGACGCTCTCATCCATTGTGGATGAAGAGCAACAGTCCACCACGTTCTCTTCTGGAACTGGTGCGACCATCTCGTGGATCTTTCCTTCCTTTAGTTCGGACAGGAACAGATCCCACGTCATCTCCGAGAGATTTACTATCTCCTCGGCAGATGCCAAGACAAGTTGGAGCACCTCAACTGAGGATGCCTCCGGCGTTTTGTCTTCGACGGCCTCGAACAACTCGTTCGTAGGTCCGTCCTCTTGGACCGAGACTGATCCAAGGGTCACTCGTTTCGACGTGCCCTTGATCGTCTTGATACGTCTAATGCTCGTTCTTCGAGTCACCACGACTTTTGACCTGAAAGAAGGTGTCGTTGCTGCCTCAGCTAACGCACTCCTTCCAACCGCACCAGGCTCATGGCTCTGTGCCGGTTCTTGTGGCACTTGACTTCCTGTCAGCCCACCATCAACTGCCACAGGCTCTCGGCTCTGTGCAGGACTATTGGACGCATGACTACCTGTCGTCGCCCCATTCACTACACCAGTCTTTTCGACCTGGGTAGGAATCTGTGTCACCTGGATTTTTGCCAGGGCATTTCCAACAACACCACTCCTTTCGAGCTGGATAGTTCCTGGTGCCGATTGGCATACCTTCATCGCACCCTCGACTGTGTTGGACCCAGCATCAGCCACATAAGCCTCTCGCAGGAGCACATACTTTCCGGTGTCCTGCGTAGATCTAGAGACTGTGGGTGTACTCCAGTCTATCCATGGTTGGTGTTTAGCCAACCAAGGCATTCCTAGAAATGAGGTCATACGGACTCTCCATACCTAGCACTGTGAACTTCTCTTTACAAGAGAAGTTACTAAAGCTGAAGGCGAGTTCAACTTGAACTCCCTCCGATTTTGCGAGAGCGCCGTTCGCTAAAAGAACGGTCGCCTCTTCTTGCTTGCCATCCTGGCAAAGCGACTCATAACTCGTTGGACTCTTTTTCAGAGCCGCAAGTTACACAAAGTTTTGTGATGCACCCAAATCCACGAGACGGGTCATCACTTGGTCATATCCTCGTACACGAGCGCTATAGACCAAAAAAGTTGAGGTCCGACCTTTCAGTACCTCAGGGACTATGCTACCCATTTGTTCGATAGCCCTGATCATAGGGGTAGCTTCAGAGTCCGCGACAGTAGGGCATCCCGCCCCTACTGCGCTCCCGCATTTTCCGACTTGCCGGGGATCGAATCTGAACCCGTGCGACTTGCACGATTCTTCGAACCACCCTTCGGGTCAGGAGACTTCTTGCTGGCTGCCTTAGCATCAGTAGCAAGTTTGCATAGCAGAGAGCCATCATATGGCCTCGCTTGCCGCACTTGTAGCAGATCACATCTGAACTGCCTAACTCCATAGGAGTGACATAAGACTTCTTGGACGACGGCCTGAAATAGGCTGTCGCCGAGGCACTGTTGTAGGATTGCTTCTCAACTAATGCAATGTCAATTGCCTCTTCCATCGTCGCTGGCACCTTTCTAAAAAGGGCCTGACGCGATGGGCCGTGCCTAAGTCCATTCGTGAACGTGGCCACCTTGATGCGGCCCGGTATCGGACTCACATTAATGGATGCCGACAGCGAACGCATCTCCTGCACAAATTCTTGCAGAGATCGTTTCGCCTGTCTTGCTCCAAAGAAGCGCGCCTGTAGTAATATTTTATTGTTAGGCAGCTGGTACATGGTGCGAATCTTTGACTAGAAGATAAGGCATGTTGGAAACGCATTGGCGTTTACCATAAGCCCAGAGTATGCCCACTCTGACGCTTTGCCACGCAAATTTGACATGGCATACGACACCATTCTGGTTTCGTCTTCGATGAGCTGCGCCACACCACATTGATTCACTGCTAATAGCCAGTGGACAATCGTATGTGCTGCAGTCCCATCAGACTTCGGAAGGGCCATTCGAATGGGCCTTGGCTGATTAGGCCGGGAAGTGAGCGTCTCAACAGTTCTGTTGAGCGCCTCATTCCGAGCTTGATCACGCAAATTCTCATACTGAGTCTTACTAATGGACTTAGTCGTGGCTTGGCTGTTTGCCTTGGACGCGTTTCGATGCTGTTCGAGTACATACGCCTCGAATTGTTTCGACTGAGCAACATGTTGCTCAGGAGGATCTTTTAAAGATGTTGGCCAGGGCTTGTTCACCAAGTTCCTGCACCAAATGCTCTGCCAACTCCCTATGATGTTCGGAGAGGTGAGGAAAATTCCCCCAATCCATATTGAGGGACATCCGTATCCACACGCACATTCAAAGAGACGGGTCGTGGGAAGGACGACTAGTGCTACCAAGTGTAGACGTGCGCTTCGTAAAGAAGCTGCCACGTACTAAACGGGCACACCTTCAATCAGCGTGAGGAAGCGATCAATCCGTCTTATCTCCGTGTGCGGTGGTGATGGTGTTGGTCGGCCGCTTAAAGCAGTCCACGCAAAGAACTCTAAAACAAGCACCTATCTGCGTCACGGAAAATGTACCAGTCTTCCCTAGCGCAGTGAGTGTGATGTAGCAAATATAAGACTGACTTACACTAACAGGTTTTAGCTAAATATAAATCTAACTACTGATTGGTCCAATATAAAAGATCGCATACGCGTCATTTTAGAATCGTATCCTTACGTGCGAGCTTAGATATATTTGAGCTCGTTGATGACGTCTGTCTGAAGCGTCACTATGATGCCCAGTCCCAACTGGCGTCATCCCCGTTGAATGTGAATCCATCCATGGATATCACATATACGAGGGTGGGTCACATTGTTGTGCCGCACCCAACCTAAGGTACCTCGTACCCTTTTAGGCCTGCCCGTTCAGTATCCGATACTTAACAAACCATGTAACTTTTAGCCCGTTACAGGTATGGTGACAGCTCAAAGCTGTGGTGAAGTGGTTTCCTAAATTGTGAAGAAACCAGGGGCCAGTTGGATTGAAGAGACAAGGGGCCGTGGACTAGGGATAAGGGACCACGCACCAGAGCGAAGGGACCGGAGATAAAGGGAACCTTGGAGTGAAGCGACCGTTGGCTGAGAATTTGAGACAAACAAAGAGAGGTACTGTTTAACCGGTACCGAAGGGAGTCGACCATGGCTCTCATTGATCGACCCGGTCCATCATTGATCGAACTGGTCCCTCATCGGTAGACCTGGGTCCCTCATCGGTAGACCTCGGCTCCTCGTCGGTAGACCCGGTCCTTCATTGGTCGACCCGGTCCCTCATAGATAGACCTGGGTCCCTCATCGGTCGACCTCGGCCCCTCGTCGGTAGACCCAGTCCCTCATCGGTCGACCCGTCCCTCATCGGTAGACCTGGGTCCCTCGTCGGTAGACCCGATCCCTCATTGGTAGATCTGGGTCCCTCATTGGTCGACCTGGGTCCCTCATTGGTCGACCTCGGCCCCTCGAGGTTCAGCCACTTCGGACCAGTTAATACAAGGATCAGAATAGTCGACGCAAGGAATCAGAACTTCAGGCAAGGATAGAGTAAAGGAGTAAAAAGGATAGGACTATATTAAATACTACTACTCAATTTGCGATCTACGTGGCACGACTCCGTCACCAAGAAGAACTTGCTCTAAGTTACTCACTGTTCCGGGAAGGGATATACTTTGGCCCCACGTCGAAGACAGTTGTGTAGCGAAGTTCAAGTGCGAATAGAGCTCCAGGATATATTTGGCCTGTGAGCTCGTTCGAGTAGCAACACCCCCCAAGACCCGCTATCAGAAGCGGTCTCCCTCACCTCAAGGTTCGGGAGCAACGTAAAGGTCAGGTGGTTGATACCCCTGAAACAGAAGGAAAAGTCCAGGGATAAGCGCCCTGAAGAATTTGGCTCTAAGTCCACTCTCGACAAGGTCGATCGAGTGGCCACCTACCGGCCCACCGAGTGAAGCATATCCACTCGAGGCCCCCCCCAGGTCTACCTCCCTCAAGGCAGACGTCTACATCTTCACCAAGTCCTCCGAAGAGTGCAACCCGCCAGCCGACGGGTACACAAGGTGAGAGAAGGTTCATACGCGGCATCGGGGTATCCTTTTTATAAATAAAATTTATTTTTAAAATAAGATTGACATTATTTGGCAGTCCGTCACAGTGAGTGGTTTGGGGTCTCATCATACAATTTTGAGAACCCACTCCACCACAAAGCTTTTCTGCCGAAGACCTTTGCGCGACAGAGCCTATCGTCTGACATTTAGAAACCTGCTTAGTCGGATTTAGAGTATCTGTACATGGCAGACGTTTATTGGACCCGGCTACTATCTAAATTTAGTCGTTTAGCTACGAAAAGGATGCACATTCTCTTTTCTCGGCACCTTTTTGTATCTTGCTACTTTGATATCATCGAGCTACAAGATCAATACAAAAACCATGCAAAAATTTATCTAGAACGAATTGCTAATATTTAGAGGTCGTACATGGAGCCCCGACATTTGTTGCAGTCAGATTCCACATTTAGAAATTAAAACGCAGTTTTGACACTGTTAAAAATAACAAGAATTGATCAATTGAAATGGCTGGAGCTAGTAGCACAGGTGCCACCGTAGCCTTGACACTCGAGGAAGCACCCACCGAGTATCTGACTCGCTTCTGGCGTGCCAATGCTTCTGCCTTCATGCGCTGGTTCCTAGCACTTCCTTACACTGGGCAAGTTTCTCTGTTACGCAATGCATCACCTGACATTCCCGTGTCCTACAACTGTAAAGAAACAAGACCACAGGCTACACAGCTACTCACGCCCGAATTGACGCTTCAGGGGCTCTTAGAGGATAATGGTAAAGTGTTGCTGCGAATGATGAACGCACGTGCCACCAAGAGAGAACAATGCAGTCGCCATGACTTGTTATATCTGACGTCGTTGCGTGCGACCGACATTATGCCGACGTTCTCAGGCGAGACGTTCATGCACGTCTCGCTGGCCTTCATTGACCTGGCAGACCCTGAGCATAATGTTCAGTCCTTGCTGCCCTCAGCATCAACACAGATTGTAGAAGAAAAGAAAGCTTTGATCAAACAGGGCAAGCTGATGGAAGCAGACGTGTGGCTCACGCTGCAGATGCGACAGCAGATCATCCTCACGTTCCTGACGAACGTGGCGCACACATTTGAAACGATGTTTTTGAAACAGACGATGGTAGGTGACGTCAGTACATCGGAAGTTGGATGTCGATACTGCGGCTCTTCCACTCGTCAGGTGGAAGGAGGAGGAGCGGCGACGTTGTTGCAATGTGCGTGTGAAGCGACGTTTTACTGCTGCAAGGAGCATCAGGTAGAGGACTGGACTAATCATAAGACGAGTTGCAAGGCCATTCGGAAAGAGATGGCTGCTGCAGAACCAAGTGCCGAAAAACAAGAGATTTACTGAAAGTGCTTGAACTGCACTGTGACAATATATCAAGACTGACTCAGCTGCATCAAAGCTTGCTGTCCTATTTGAAAGAGATTCATTAGTCGTACCGAATGCAGATCTGCTGCTACGATGTGTATAGAGCTACGACTGCTGAGCAAAGCTAGTCCGAAGTCCACACTAACGTCGCAGCCTGGAGTACGCTGTACTTTATAAAAAAGCATGGTGTAGTGTAGTTGTTCAGGCACCCCACGATGCGATCGACACCTGATGCAATCGTAGGTGTTAGGCAGTCAAATTGGCAAGCCAAATTCGGTCGCGTGATGATGGAAATATACAGCAACGACAGTCAGTCGCCCTAAACGACTGGATTCCAGCATTCATGTCCATTTGCACCGCTGCTTTCGTCATTAGTGATCGAGGTAGTAATTGTTCGTCGCAATTGAAACGCTTTCCATCCGAGTATATGTTGTGTGGGAAAGGCCTTGTGTGATCTCCTCAACTGCATTCACTACTTCATCCAAGTTCGCTCAATCTCAGCATGTCATGAACATGAAAGGACACTATTACAACAGAATGTTTCGCCGCCCGTTTCACTAACACCCACAGATCGAATTCGCATCCCGATATCACAAATAATGAGGTGCCGTATATATCCATGCACGCGAGGCTTACCAACAAACCAGAAAACGCTTTCATTAGCTTTCACATCAATGTTAGTAGGCAATGGTCTACCAAGGCAATAGACCAAGGCAATGGACCAAGGCAATGGACCAAGGCATAGAGCTGTTCAGGAAGCTTTTCCATCATCTACTTGGGGCTAATGCTCACTGCCAGAACCAACACCACACGAGTTGAGTCATACGGCATCACTGGGCTGATATAGTCAACCCCAAAACAGTGGATGATCCGCTTGGCAACAAACAAGACAGGCCTTATTCTTGTTCCGGTGACCTATCAGCATGCATTTTGCGTAAATACCATTTGGTTTCTACAAGTCTCCAGCGCAGCAGCATCTTGATCATCTCTGCAGACGCAGTTACCTGTTCAGCAGCCAAAGACTCATATTTTAGGCAAAAGATGTTCTTTTCACTAACCCGTGTAGTTTGACGCACACATCGTTGATTCCATTGATGATCCCTTCAACTGTTGTTCATCAGCCATTTGAGTTGAAATGACCCACTGACGGTCGGCTAAGCACCTTGAATAGCTCCTCCTACAGTCATTTATCTAAATCCGTATAGCTGGGTACCGTGCTGTAACGCTGCTCGATTCCAAAGATATTCTCATGATCAGCAATAACACTAATAGGATCCGAAGGCTGTACTGTCAAGGAGTGCTTGATGCTGGTTTATTACATTAGCCATGTCTATGAAAAAAGATAAGTAGATCAGTAGTTTACTAAGCGAAGAAGCAACCAAAGGGATTGTGTACACAGATGATGAAAGGAGAACTCGATCATGGCATTCAAGCGGAGCAAATGCTCCTTTAACTAACTCAAATTCTCGAGCAAGCGTTACATGAACATTTGGGTGATTTCTGGTATCCGCTTCATGCATTCGTTACAGAAGTACTGGGGTCGTATACACAGATAGACATCAAAGTCAGTAAACAGAGCTGAGTCCATTTACGAAGTTTGCAAAATTAAGTACATGTTGCAAATGGTATCGTTCGCACTTGATGCACTGACAATAAATAGGGCTATTGACGATGACATTGTATTGGCTAACGTTAGAGTCGTAGTTTGTTGCGTCGATTTGCTGCCAATCTATCACTTTTGTCTGTGTCGTTGGTTTGTGAAGATACAAAATTAAAGGCGGTGCGTACAATATGTTCAGATTGTCCCCTTCGATTCAACTACAGAGTAAATACTTCTAGATCATATCCATACCACAGGTACAATTCTTGACAAAAAACAATACAATTCCTTTACATGATGAGAAAAAGCTTTCTATCGACGTTATTGTCTGTTTGTCTTACAATGTCACGTAAGACTGTAGGTACCAAAAGTTTTGCAACACGACGAAAAAGCAGACGTCGCCGACCATCTCGCACGTCTGTGACTGTCGTACTTTGTTATGTATTTACTTTCGTACAGTAGTTTCTTTCTCGGCTGCATGGATGTCACTAACCTGTACCATAGACAGACAAGAGAATAGTATGATTTTACTATCCCTTAAACCCAGTCTAAAAGCCATAAAATAAATTGTATTTACACTTTTATCATGAATAAAATACTGTCCTTTCATATTAAAAATTAAGAAATATATAAAAGGTGGACGTCAAGAGGTTTTTATGTTGTTGAGTTGCAGGTAAGCAGACATATACACACATACATACATACACTGGTCCATACAAAGGGATAGGTCTATGCTGGCTATTATTACATGTGTATAAAAAACCTACAAATTGGTTCACAATCTCGGAATTGCTTGTCCCTACTTAGCGTCGTTGATAAAGTACTTGTACCCTTGTAATTTTGGGACATCTCGCTCTCTCTCTCTCTCTCTCTCTCTCTCTCTCTTCTCTTTCCACGTAAATTGTGGCTTCTTTACGTGCCGGGATTCCAGTGTGCTTCCACCGTCTCTTGACGTTGACGTTGACGTGTGTGTGTGTCTGTTATATAAGACTTTCTTTATTCTCTTTCAATACCTTTTCGCGGACTTTTAACTATCACTATGGACGTCAGTGCTTCAGTCTGGGTTTTGGACCATGAAGAATGGCATGAAGCAGTTATTGTAGCACCTGTGGATACTTCTTCTGGTCTTGTAGAGTGTGCTTTTGAGCTTGAAGCTAAGGACGAAACTCTTGGGATGTCGGAGAGTGAAGAACATGTTGGTAGTTCTCAAGACTGTCAAGACGGAATGGCACGTAAACGTCATAATTCGATACGACGGACTGTATCGATTGCTGCAGATTTTGTACTACCACGTAATCAAGGAGAGCTTTATCATACAGTACAGGACTTGACAAAGCTTGTACATTTACATGAACCAGCTATTTTACAAGTTTTGAAACATCGTTTCTTTCATGGAGAAATTTATACCAGCACGGGACAGATTCTTGTTGCTATGAACCCATTTCGAAGACTTGCACTGTACTCGGACGATATTAAGGACCAGTATTATAAACTGGGAGGAGATGCAGAAGCAGACAAGAGCTTTTTATCACCACATGTGTATTCTGTTGCCGATAAGGCATTCCGAACAATGCTTGTACCGCAAACAAGTGACAAGAAGACAGACCAGACAATTCTTGTAAGTGGTGAAAGTGGTGCTGGTAAGACTGAGACTACGAAGCTCATTATGAACTATTTGGCCTATGTCTCAACTAAACGCACACGCCGCGTGATGCAATCGAGCAATTCGGGCCAACCGACGATTCACGATCGAGTACTGGAGTCAAATCCGATTTTAGAAGCATTTGGGAATGCTAGAACCACGAGGAATAATAACTCCAGTCGTTTTGGTAAATTCATCAAGCTAGGGTTTACATCGTCTGGTGAGATGCTAGGCGCATCTATTTCCACGTACCTGTTGGAACGTGTGCGACTCGTATCACAGGGCAAAGGTGAACGAAATTACCATGTTTTTTACGAAATGTGTGGCGGCAGCTCTCCGTCTGAGCGTCAGGACCTGGCGCTACAAGACGTACACGAGTACGCGTATTTAAATCAGTCCGAGTGTTATGAACGTCTGGACGGTGTGGTTGATGCTGAATCCTATCACGTTACTCGACGAGCCATGTCAAGCATTGGCATGAGTCCTGATGAGCAGCTCAACGTGATGAAGATTGTCTCTGCAGTGCTGCACTTTGGTAATGTATGTTTCACAACGGCAACACGGAATGGTGGAAAGGATGATGCTTCTGTCGTGAACATGAGTGAGTGTGGTAATAGCATCCAAGCCATTTGCTCGCTTCTTGGTGTGGAGGAGGATGTACTACGGAGCACGCTGTGCACAAAGCAAATCAAGGCTGGCGCAGAGTCCATCACGACTCGCCTTCCGGTTGCGCAGGCGCTTTCAACTCGGGACTCTGTGGTAAAAACGCTTTACTCGAACCTATTTAACTGGCTAGTGGGCCGCATCAATCGAAGTATCGAGTACAAGGAAGAAGCAGGTGGTAATCAATTCATTGGTGTTGTTGACATTTTCGGTTTCGAGATTTTTGAGCACAACCGCCTTGAGCAGTTGTGCATCAATTACGCCAACGAGAAGCTACAACAGTTGTTTGGCAGGTTTGTGTTCCGCATGGAGCAAGATCAGTACGTGGCGGAGGAAATTCCGTGGCAGTTTGTGGACTACCCAAACAACGATGTATGTGTAGCGCTAGTGGAAAAGCGTCACACGGGCATCTTCTCTCTTTTGGACGAACAGTGTCTGATTCCGCGTGGTAACGACGAAAAGTTGGCCAATAAGTATTTTGAGTGTCTAGCGGATAAGCACGAGAGCTTCTCAGTGACCCGACTTCAACGTGCCAAGGGCCAGTTTGTGATTCACCATTATGCAGGAAAGGTCTGCTACATGACGGATGGCTTTTGTGATAAAAACAAAGACCACATGCACACGGAGGCATTGGATCTACTGCGCACCTCCAAGTCTTCTTTTGTACGTGCTTGCTTTGAGAACAATGCTAATGCTCCTGGTAGCGCCAGCCCAAAGAACGGTCGGATAGAGTCTCGCAGTAGTGACGGTAATCGTCGCCGATCTGGCGGTATTTTGTCATCCACGGTCGTGGCGCAATTCAAGAGTCAGTTGGGCTCCCTTTTGGAAGTGTTAAACGCTACGGAACCTCACTTCATTCGTTGCATTAAGCCAAACGACCAGGCGAGTGCGTCACAGTTCGAGCAACGACGTCTACTGGAGCAGCTACGCTGCAGTGGCGTTCTGGAAGCTGTCAAGATTTCTCGCAGCGGCTACCCTGTGCGTTTTCCTCACGATGTATTTATCAAAACGTACAGCTGCATCTTGTCTGCGGTACCAAAGGCACAGGGGCAATTGGAGAAAGAAGTGGCAGTGTTATTGGTGGATAAGCTGGCGGACATACTCCATGTTGTTACGGGCGCAAAACATCCTCCGTTCCAGGTGGGCAAGACAAAAGTTTTTTGTGTTCTTGAAGCTCATCAAGCTCTGGAAGCAGCACGGTCAAAGGCTTTGCACAAAACTGTTATTACAGTACAGCGATACTGTCTGGGCTACAGTGTGCGTTCTCGATATCAGCGTAAGCGTCGGTCCAGCGTTCGTATCCAAGCAACCTGGCGCTCTTGGTCATGCTGGCACCGCTACCAGCGAATTATACGCCATCAACGTGCAGCAGTAAAGGTGCAAAGCACCACCCGTGGATTCTTGACCAGGAAAATGGTAAGGCGTATGCAAGCGGCTATTGCAATCCAGTCTTTTGTGCGTGGATGGCTTGTTCGACGTGAGTACAGCGCCAACACGTTGAGCTTCGAGCATGACGTATCGTATGTGGGTTCACTGGACGAGCGTAGCACCACAGCGAGTTCAGATTCTTTTTCGGAATCCGTATCTATGAAAGACCGGAAGAATACTACAATCTCGTTTCAGAGTTCAGTGTCCACTAGTGACTACTCTGATAATGATGGAAGCATGAGTGTTCGTAGCAGCTTCCGTGCATCAAGGAAGAAAATGATCGGCGAGTATGAGCCGCCAAAGCGTGTTCCAAATGAGTATGAGATCGTGTGGGAATGTGGTCTGCTTGGCTTGTACTTCGAAAGCGACCCGCTATCAGGAATGCCTATTGTACGCCGCGTTCACGAGAGTTTGAGCAACTGCGCCGACATTTTCGAGGTTTCCCGCGGAGATGTTCTTCTTGCTGTTGGGAAGGTGAAAGTAAAAAAGGGTGACATTCGTCGTATTTTGTCATTACTTCAAGAAGTACAGAAGCCAGTGCGCTTGCATTTCCTCCGCAACCCGACAGAATCATTTCGCCTGCGATCAGGTTCGCTTGAGCTCCTTGGTGAAGAGGACTATGAGGTGTTATGGAAGGAAGGCGTTCCGCTCGGTCTAGGGTTCCGTCCCGACCCAAGCACTGGATACCCGTGCGTTCTCCAGTCACAAGGGAACCAGCTTTTGCCTGGCATGTTTAACGTACGAGCAGGCGATCACTTGGTTTTCATCAACGAGTTTTCGACACAGAGTGTGCGTTTCCAAAAGGTAATTGACATACTCGAAAGTGGTCCACGACCAGCAGTGCTGCGCTTTCGGCACACGGACCTCATGGAAGATCCGAGCCAGCAGTTTGATCTAACGAATCCATTGGAGAGCTCGGTCGTGTCAAATCCACAGGACGATTTTAACATATTGAGGAGGTCACGCCTGACACGACCATCGCGTGTGAGCATGAACCCGAAGAATGATCACTCACTGTATTACATTACGTGGAAAGAGGAGGATGGTCCGTTGGGCATCGTTGTCAAACAGGAGAGCACAAGCTACTACCCACGTGTGATAAATGTAAAAAGCGAAGGTGCTGTTACACGCGAGTCACAAAAGAACCGCGTGGAAATCGGTGATGTTTTGCTGAGTATCAACAACAACAATATCAGCAAGATGGGCTTTGGTGCAGCAATGAAGCTGTTGCAGAAGGGTCCCAAACCGCTTCTCTTGATGTTTCAGCGCCCACGCATGTCGATGACAATGTCGACAAGGAGTTGTAACCTGTAATTTTGGTCTTGCTAAATAATCCAATTTTGGGCCGGACAGACACAACAAGGAACGGAGATGGTCACGACTGCAGTGCAGTTTGGTTAGAAAAACCTCTCGCAAAGATCTTCACCCGTACGATCACTTGTAACGGAGCTGAGAACTGTTCAGCTTTGCCATGGGCCTGGTTTCTGTTGTAGCCGTTGTCAAACTTCGAGCTGTCTGAAAAAGTATTTTGAACATTGATTTTGTTATAAAGAAAAGTCGAGCTTTCATGTACAAGTGCATTCCTCACATCTCTCTCTTTCTCTTCTTTACCTAAAACCAATTCAAAGGAATGTGTTCATTGTTAGCTATGAGAAATCAAATCAAGTTGTACCTGAAAGAGCTAAAAATGGTCAAAAAGTCTCCGTTCTACTCGGTCTTCTTCTCCTGACGGAGATGGGTGAGGATGGCGTCAATGTCGTTCAAGTGGTTTGTCACAAAATAGCGGCCTTCACGCTCCACGACTTGACCTTTTTCATTGAAAAAGATAAGAGTGGGTATTGTCTTGACAATAAACTTGTCACAAAGCTCAAGTTTCAGGTCACGACGTCGATAAGGTAGAGCAATCCATGGCATTTCTTGAAAATACTCGATAAATTTGGCTTCCTCCTTGTCCGAAGACACAAAAATAATCTCCAAATCTTCGTGACCAGCAGTTTTAATGTTCTTGTACACCAGATCCAGCAGTGGCGTAAACTTACGACATGGTGGACAGTAGTGGCCACTAAAGTAAAGACCAATGACCTTTTTCCCCGCAAGTGCCTGAGACGTTGGCACCACTTCGCCACTTTTAAGCATTAGCTCATTCTGGAGCAAAGTCTCCATTCTATTGAAACGTTAAAAATGGAGAATGATCAAGCTGGTCTGTAACAGGAGACAGATAAAACTGAGCTGCTAATACCGTGCTAGATTTTACATTGTTAATACGAAATAAAACCATTCAGCAAAAAAAACGTTAAAACAAAAAAAGAGAACCCATTGTAGACAAATGTTGATTCCTGCCATTCAAACATGACTTAACTACCTTCTTTTCTTCCGTACGCTACTTAAAAATAATAAAATGACAATGTTACGTCTCTCCTGTGCTCTTCATTCCTCTGCTACCTCGTACATAGTTCCATTGCCATGTCCTGACCAATAGACTGCAGTTAAAAAAACTTCCAATCCATTTAACAGTAGAACCAGCCGCCAAACGGACGACCAAATTTGCAAGTTGGGCCAAAGATCGTGTGTCCAAAAGTGTTCCAGTAGCCGATCGGGTAGCGCCAGCCATAACGGAAGCCTCCAGCAAACGGATACGTGTAGCGCCAGCGGTACGTGATTCCTCCCGTCGGGATGAAGCCACCTCCACCACCAATAATCTGCTCAAACTGCTCCGTGTTCATAGGCACAGGTTCCTTTTCTCCTGTGATAGTCACACCGGGTGGAACCGCCTCCGTGGGCTTTGCAGGCTCCTTCTCGACGGCTGGGGCATCGTCCGCATAAGCGCAGCTCAGCATGGCGGCCAGGACAACCAGGAGAAGGATGGCGAAACGCTTGATCATTGCGATTGAAGGACTGGGTGTTGACAACGGCGCAAACTGTCGAATGAGCTCTAGAAGCTGGGGCTGAACAACAAGTTTTCTCTTAACGGCGAGACCGACAACTCGGAAACGTAGCAACACCACCCGTCCCACATAGACCAATTTATGAAAGTCATCAGCTTTCCAAGAAAGGTAGGGAAGTTATTGACACACTTCGCTGCTTTTTTTGCAGTACAAAGGCTTGCTGTCGTCACACTCGTTGCATTTCAAAGTGGTCAATCGTTCATGTCAGTTGCTCTTTCGGCTGCGACGAGCACCTCGCTCACAACGTTTGTTAGCGCGTTGGAGTTTGTAAGAAGAATCTTAACTGGCGAGTCTAAGAAGATGAGAACATCCAGCACTCAATACAGTAATGACCAGTTGACCATTGTTGTTTGCAAAGCAAGAATCGAGTAACATCCTTTGACTGAAGTGAGCATAATAGAATATATCCGTCAAACCTTTCTTACTCTTACATGCTTCTTTTAACTCCACAGTCTTGGGTGGAAGGCCATTTCAGACAACTTCATAGGGTTGAAACCCTGTTACCTTATGCTACAACGGCTCAAACTGCTCTCGTTATTGACTCTCTTGCCGTTTTCGTGTATAACAAAAATGTCGGACGTTGGTAATACTTCTCAATCGATACGCAATCTTGAACCACCCTTGTCGCAGGGGTGATCTTGGCTGGTGCTAAGTGCAGACTTCAAATCTGTAGGCCATTAGATTGGCAGGAGTTCGATTCTCCCTCGCCTGCGCCTTTTCCTAATCAATGCAGCACTATGCAGTTCTTCAATGATCCGTGGTCGCTACATCCATCGTCTCATTGGCCAGTCACCACTTCACATCGTCCGCTACACGCTGTCCATTGAGCAGCAATTCGCAAGGCTTCAGTCTACACTCACCTCTTCTGCCAAGATGCCTCGCCAACTCAAATCCGAGCAGCTGCTGACACCCGTGCCGTCGGACATTACCATTAGTGATGCTATGACCCCATTGCTTATCACCGAAATTGCCCAGACCGCTGGAATTGTAAGCTATACCTTTGAAATACCTTCGGTTGTTGTTTGTATGGCTTGATAAGTAACAGGGAACCCGGTGCATTGTTGTTGCAGCTCCCGGAGGAGGTGATACCGTACGGATCGACCAAGGCCAAGATCTCGTTGAGCATGCGAGATCGGCTCAAGGACCAACCAAATGGCAATTACGTTGTGGTCACGGGTATCACCCCCACCCCATTAGGTGAGGGCAAGAGTACAACCACTATTGGGTAAGTGGTTGTGTGAAAGCTTTGACTGCAACCCGAGACAGGAATGTCGTTGAGGAATGACAATGTCGTGTGATTACTTGACGACACGGTAGATTGTGCCAAGCATTGGGCGCCCACCTCGACAAAAAAGCGTTTGCTTGCATCCGTCAGCCATCGCAGGGTCCAACGTTCGGTGTCAAAGGTGGTGCTGCAGGTGGAGGCTATGCTCAGGTCATCCCTATGGACGAGTTCAATCTGTATGTGGACAATCTGGTGTCAATTTTTTTGTTATGGGATGTTGCTCACGATGATCTTTGGTGTATGTTGCTGTGGTTGAATTAGTCACTTGACAGGAGACATCCACGCTATCACTGCTGCAAACAATCTAGTGAGTACTTTGTGAGGTGATTTCGTAGATCGCGACTGCGGATTGACTGACAAGTTGTCCGCTACGTGTTTGCATTACAGTTGGCTGCAGCTATTGATACTCGCATGTTTCACGAGAATGCACAGTCTGACAAGGCTTTGTTTCGTCGTTTGTGTCCGACGGCCAAGGATGGACTCCGCAAGTTCTCGCCTGTCATGCTGAAGCGTCTGCAAAAACTAGGAATCACCAAGCTGTCGCCTGATGACCTCACGGACGAAGAGATCCGCAAGTTTGCGCGTCTTGACATTGACCCAGACACGATTACGTGGCAGCGCGTACTGGACACATGTGATCGTTCCCTGCGCCAGGTAGTCGTGGGCGCTGGGCCTGCCGAGAAGGGTCAAACCCGTAAGACTGGCTTTGACATTACGGTAGCTAGCGAGATTATGGCTATTTTGGCCCTCACGACAAGCTTGCAGGACATGCGTGAACGCCTGGGACGTATTGTAATTGGTATGAGTCGCGGTGGCGAGCCTGTGACGGCTGACGACCTGGGTGTTGGTGGTGCGCTAGCAGTGCTCATGAAGGATGCTATCCTGCCCACGCTCATGCAAACAGTAGAAGGGACTCCCGTATTTGTGCACGCAGGACCGTTTGCCAACATCGCTCACGGCAATTCGTCTATCATCGCTGACCAAATTGCACTGAAGCTTGCCGGCGAGGATGGATTTGTGGTCACTGAATGCGGATTTGGTGCTGACATTGGCATGGAAAAGTTTTTCAACATCAAGTGTCGTACTAGCGGGCTAACACCACAATGTGTGGTGCTTGTTTCCACGATCCGTGCGCTCAAGATGCACGGTGGAGGGCCCAACGTGGTTGCTGGCAAACAGGTACGTTTCTTGGTATGGTGCATTCTTACGCTACTCATCTCACGTCATGATCTCTGCTTCTTTCTATCGTTATCAGCTCGACCCCGTGTACGTTGATGAAAACCTAGAGATGCTGGAGCGTGGTTGCGTCAATATGCAGCACCACATTCGCAACGCGTTGAAGTTTGGTGTGGCGGTAGTTGTGGCTGTGAACGTGTTCGTCACAGATTCGCCTCGTGAGATAGAGCTTGTCAAGCACAAGGCACTGGAGGCTGGTGCCACGGCTGCAGTGGAGAGTAACCACTGGTCTGAAGGAGGTAAGGGAGCGAAGAATTTGGGCCGCGCGGTCATTACTTCCTGCAAGAAGATGCGTACACAGGGCAGTCAGTTCAAGTTCCTCTACCCGTTGGAATTTACCATTGCTGAGAAGTTTGAAGTCATTTGCAGTACGTTGATAATCTTGGCATGTGTTGCGATCGCACAAGCGCCGACAATTTGTTTTCGTAGAGCACACCACTAACAATTCTTTTGCGTTGTGAGTAGAGGAGATTTACGGTGCTGACAGTGTGGAGTTTAGCGAGGAAGCCAAGATGAAACTAGCGGTCTACTCGGAGCGGGGATACGGCAACCTGCCAGTATGCTGCGCTAAGACGCACCTGAGTTTAAGCACCGATCCGACTGCAAAGGGTGTGCCCAAGGGCTTTTCAGTCACGGTGCGTGATATTCGTGCCTCGGTAGGTGCTGGCTTTGTCTACCTGCTGTGCGGGGACATGACAACGGTGCCTGGTCTTCCCACGCGCCCGGGCTTTCTATGACGTTGATCTGGATACCGAAACCGGTAAAGTCATTGGTCTCTTCTGAAAAAATAAAAATACACGAAAGATAAAAGCGTCCGATGTCGACCAAAGAGCAGCATGTGATGGCCATAATAGACCTTTCACTTGTAATTCACGAGTTCGAGACAACATTTTTGATCTCTCATCTTAACGGTCATATAGCATTTGTGCATCTCATGACAAGGTATCAGCTTAATTTGTCTCGACTGCATCTGTACTTGTTGTTGTTGTCGCGAATTCAGGGTTCCCCTCCGATCGGTAATTGAGAAAAGTTTGCCAGTGATAAAACTGCTGACCATGCACCAACGTCATAAAATCCTCACGTGCAATCATCTGTCGGAAACGTTCATCATCCAACATGTCGAGAAACGCGAGACAATGAGGGTATACAATGTATTTGGCGTATTCTGGTTGTTTCCAGTACTTGAGATACTGGAGATAGTTCATAAAAGCTTTATTTTCAAAGTATCGATTGATGGCCAGGACTATAGAGAAATAAAGGAGAGGGTGAGAAGGTGGAAGATCAGATAAAGAAGAACATGTACGTACAATTGAGGTAGGCAGGGCTAGCGAGACATTGAATAAACTCGAGTTCCATCTGGAACCGAATGTCATTCGATGGCATTTCAGTCGTGCTCATGTTATTTTGGGTAACTTTTTTACACGTAAAATTAGTCCTAAAATTATTATTTTGCACAAAAATATATTACGCATTGTAATCCAAACGTCTATCTAAGTAATTATTATTCTCGTCGTGATTATAGATGCTACTATATTCTGATGAGACTTTTACTACCAAAACGTTTGTAAGTCATTCCGAGTTACTGTGATAGTCAAGGTCTACGTTGTTTTTTACTGACCAAAGACATTTTGACTATGTCTCTCATTAAAACCACGCTATCGCTTTCGATCAAACAATCTGCTATCGATTTGCTTATAGACTATAACACGCGGAAGATAGTCTCCACTGTCACAAACTTAAAATGAAACTTAAGTGACGAGTTCGGCTCGGAAATTCGGTCTGATTGTCATGGGAAGTGAAGTAGTCGATGAAGAAAGAATTGGTTCATCTGATGTCATGACGTGGACCGTGTCGTCCTGCACGGTAGACTCACTTGACCAATCGGCTTCAAACGCCAAATCGGACAGTGACGCCCTAAGATCTTCGTCATCGTCATCACTCGTGTCTTCTGTTCCAGTATCGTCTACTTGGATACGAGTCATTGCAAAATTAGGGTGACGGTGCTTCAATTCCAACGGAACGACGGAAGTAAAGCTCCTTGGGGACAAGCAGCTATTTTCAAACTCCAAAAACATCAAATCGTCGTCATCATCTGCATAAGGCAACGGTCCAACTGAATAGGATGTGACACCTGCTGCCACCGATGATCCAGTATTTCCAGGTGGATTACTCAAGACAAAGCTAAACTCGTCCTCAGATAGCACAAAGCTCGACGAGTCGGCAAAGTGACCTAATGTGGTACTAAAGCTACGGATAGTATCAATACAGCGCATCATCCGCAACGTAAGCGGGATCGTCGAGAGCTGAATCCACAATTGGGTGTTCCGATGACTCGGGAGTCGTACAATCATCCGCACTTCCTGCATTGTATTACAAGCCAAGTCAATGCTATTTCCACGTTGCTGTACTCGCATAAAATCTTCAAGTTTTTCAGCTTCTTCAAGTGATAGAAACTCAAACAAGTTGCCACCGTAAAGATCTGCAGCATTTTTAGCACCAAATTCAGGTGCACATGTGTCTGCAACGAATATAAATTCCCCCGATGGTAAGCAATAGGCAATCCGATTACCATTTGGTACTTGTTTGATTTCCAAGAGCATGACAGTGCCAAGCCCCATGGCAACTGAATGACAGACACTAGAATTGTCCGTTCTGTACCAGAGTGTAAACTATTAATCTCGTAAGTTAGTACGTCGTGCAAATGAGATGAATTGAAAAGGGACTGGCCTAATGGATAACACTTGGTTTCAGAATCCAGAATGGTTTGGAGTTATAAGATCTCAAAGAGCGAGCGAGCGAGCGAGCGAGACTGAGTAATTTTTCACGACTGAGTAGTGTCTTGAGTGTTGGACCTCGTACCCTAAAAGTAAATTTAAGTATGCGAGAGACAATTGGGTTTTGTCTTGAGGTAGGCTTACTACTTTTCTGGGTTTTCGTACCCGTTGCTGACTGTTTGTTTGGTCAAGCTGCCAATGCAACAATGGTAACGTAAATGACTGAACCATCGTATCAAAATTATGTAGTCCAGGACGCGAAAGACGAGTGTATTGAGCGTGACGCTGAAAATCCTGTCATTTCAGATAAGAACGGTCTTAGCAGGGGTATGCACTTCAAAAGGCAATATGAAGGCTTTTTATTCAACCACTTTGAATTAATTGGACAGGCTAAAAAGGTTCTGCAGGGATCGCACGTCGCAGTTGAACTTGCCACGGTCCGTGCCCTACCCACGACTGACGTGCTACTTTGGTACACGGTACCCTTCAAGTTGCTGGAGATTGGCTGAAAAGATGTGACCAGGCAGCCAATTAATTGAGAATATCATGGCTACACCACTAATTCCACTGGATGAGCACGAGTATCCTGTGATACTTGGCACGTCATTGATTGAGACGGACGACGACGACGACAATGTCGATCAATTGAATGAGCAGCAATGTGACAATGTAATGGTTTCTTTTGGCTATGAATTTCTACCAGCTTCCGTGGACAAGAGCACGCCCGGTCTTGTGAGTGTGGACGATTCTAATGGTGTTCAGGTGCTTATGGGCTCGTCCACTGGAGCTACTGGAGGCGTGTGTTTCAAAGGAAAACTAGTTGAACACAAGGAGACTGACTGTATGCTGATATTTGACGGCAAGGGCTTTCGACTCGAACGCTGTCTGTTTTCCTGCATGCAGCTACGTCACGTGCGTGCTCACACGCCACGGCAGCGTGTGAAAAGTCAACCCGAGCAAGCAAATGACAGCGATGCCAATGCAACATTGGTGGCTTCTAAGGAGACAAGTATTTCTGTAGCATCGGTGACAGGGACTGCCAAGAAGAGACCAGCGAAGACACGTAGGCGTGCTGGTGGAAAAGTAAATGCGCCTGAAACTGCAAAAGGAAAGCGAGGGAGACCAAAAGGTTCGACCAAAGCAGCTATTGCATCCAAGCAAACGCAACTGAAGGCTATTGATGGAACATGAAGGTGTTGCATCTCGTGCACGCGTCTTAATTGCGCTGAAACTGTATTGACTCAGCAACAAGAGCAAGAGAGTGACAATAGCAAGAGTGAGGTGTTGAAGACGGAAACTCAGTGGACGCTTAAGTGTTGTGCACAGGTACGTACCACTGAGCTCAGAAATAAAAGGCCTAGGTTGCTTCTTCTAGCTTCAATCTGCTGGCTAGGAACATTTGTAGGAACTAATTTACTTTCCATTTACTTCCTCGTACCACATGTATCCCTCTGTACTTGATGTCCCAATAGATTACAGGCGCGTGCGTCAGATAGAAATTGCATTGCATTGAGTATGAGCAAGCTAATTGCGAGACTCAAAACTCCATCGACATACCAAGATGCAATGGCGTCTCCTCAATCCAAATGTGGTGTGATGCGATCAAGACCGAATTACAGGCACTTCATAAAAAGAAGACATGGACAATCGTGGAGACATTTCTCAATAAAATAGTAATTGGAAAGCAAGTGGGTGTTTGCAATCAAGCAAATGGAATATGGCGAATTGGAGTGGTTCAAGGGCTCGACTTGTGGTGTTGAGTTATCGACAAACCTATGGAGACGACTATTTCAATACGTACTCTCCGATCGCAAACATGAATTTGATTCGCGTCTTCCTGGCAGTGTGTTGTCATCATGGTCTGGCTATACAACAATATGATGTTGATACTGCATTCATCAAATGTGTTCTAGAATGTCTGTATTCTGTCGACATACAACCAAATCAAGGTTTGGAAACTAAATCGAAGCTTGTACGGAAAAAAATAAAGCTGTTGTAACATTTTTCAAGACAATTTCAAGTGTTTTTAAGATCATGGGTTTGTTGGCATGTGTTCTATATCCGTGCGTATTTGTTCGAATGACAATTTTTATCATAGGTTTACGTGACTTTGTACTGTATGTTGACAACATGCTTATTGGAAGTGTTATGAGTGACTTAATTAAAATTGTTGCAATACATTCACATGACGATTAAGAGTAACAATCCTGATATTACAGTGCAATTGCTATCGCAAAATATGAAGGATATTAACATACTGTATACGATATTATTTTGCACGAGCGACTTTTCTATCCCTTTTCCACAAACATGTAACGACACACCAAATAGACGATGTACACGACTCTTGAGAATAATCAGTCACTCCATACAAAAGATCAATATAAATACATATTGGGTACATCAGACCTTCTCGTTGCTAGAATTAGGTCCCAGCAATCCCAAGAAGGTCGCAACTAACTTGACACTATGAGCATAAACAAAGGCACTAAACGCCATGAATCGGACGTCATGAAACTGTATGTGTCATTCTTTAGTCGTTCTTTTATTGCAATGAATTATCAATTACAAGTCTGTCTCACCTCGCTCTTTTGTCTTGTCCAGCATGATGAGTGACTATGAAGTACATCTGACAGACGAGACCAAGATATCTGACCTTGATGTCAAGTTTCATGGCCCTGAAGATAGTGCGTACAGTTTATTTTGTCAACTTTTTGACGGAACTAAGGCCCACACCGATATATAAATTTTGTGAAAAGCTCCATACGAAGGAGGGTCGTGGAAGATTCATGTGACGTTACCCAAGGATTATCCGTTTAAATCGCCATCGATTGGCTTTTCAAACCGCATTTATCACCCCAATGTGGATGAAACGTGTGTTGTGTGATTGCAATAGCAGTTTTTTCTTCAAGAAATATCACGACTGACTCAATCGCTGTCGATTTCGTTTGACTTTTTGTTTCTCAGGTCAGGATCTGTATGTCTGGATGTGATTAATCAAACTTGGAGTCCAATGTTTGGTGCGGATATTGTTGATTGTTGAATTGGTGTCAAGGTTCTTTGAAAAGAGAGAGACTGATGCAGGTGTCTTTTCTTTCCCAAGAGTTGGTCAACATTTTCGACATGTTTATTCCTCAACTGCTTCGGTACCCGAATCCAAGTGACCCACTGAATGGTGAAGCTGCTTCGCTGCTGATGAAGGACGTCAACTCATACAATAGAAAAGTGAAAGGTGCGCGAACCTGAGAACTGCAGCTGACGACGTACTAAGTATACTTTGTTGTTTTCTGGAATTCTTCATGCAGAGTATGTGCGCAGCTACGCTTCACAGCCTATTGAGATGGGCAATGAGGAAGAAGACAGCGATGTCAGTGATATGAGCGACATCGAGTAGTGCAGTTTGTTGCACTACGTCAACACACACCAGTAGACTGACCCAATCTGGTGGATTTCGTGGGCGCTTCCTTAGCCAATTTCATCATGTCGTCGCAATGCAGGTCCTGAATGTCTCATGTGTTATTTCTTTCAATGTCGTAACAAGAAGAGAGAAATAGCAATTTTCATTGCTCTGAAAGCTCTTGTGGGTTATATCTTGCAAAATCCGTCGGTGCTACACAAATTTACATCGAGAGGAAATTGGAGGCGTCAGCATTCCTCTGAATGTAGTGAGCGTTTCTGCGAAGCCGATCGCTCATGTTACTTTCGTCATTCAAATATGCTTCCGAATGCAGTTTTCTACAAAAAAAAGTCAGTAACCCTTGAGTTGATCTGGACGCCACTTATAGCGTCTTTAAAACTATAGAACTAGTGACCTTACCTGAGAAAGTCTGGGTTGCTGCTCGTAACGTCTTGCTCGCGTTTGTCCAGCTCTCCTTTCTTCAGGGCCGCACGCTTCACAATGTATTCGTCATGCTGCTTGGCATCTTCCACCATCTGTTGAGCCATTTGCCTCTTCTCCTCATCTGTCAGCACACGAGATTCCTTTTGCGACGACTTGCCAAGCTTGCGCTGACGTTCTTCTTCTTCAAGTCGTTTCGCCTCACGAGCCTTTGCTAAGTACTTAGCATTGGGTCCCAATGATGTCTTATCGACATCTTTAGATTCCATTGCACCTGTTTTGCTGATAAGGCCATACTTTCCCTCAATATTCAGCGGTTTACGCCGCTCCTTGCGAGGTTGCTCACGCCCTTGCACCTTCATGAAATCTCTTTCTTGTTCACTCGACCCACTGCTCTGTCGGATGCTTCGCGCTCGAGGTGTACTCTGACGTTTAGTAGATATACGCTTCTTTTCGTATCGTCCACCTGGGCTACGAAAGCGATATCTGTCTTTGCGATCACTTGGGCTAAGAGAGCGACGATCATCTTGGCGATCAACAGGACTACGAGAACGACGCCTTTCCTTATAACCCGCTGAGCTACGATCTCGACTCCTTTCGCGATGATCCTCATTACGTCTGTCTGTATCCCTTTTTCTGGATAGCGTTCTACCGCGGCGATCCACTGAGCGGTCCCGTGGTCGTGATGAAGGTCTGTCGCGACCAAAGGCGTCACGGCCCTTCTTGGGACTACGGCAGAGACTACGATAATGCCGTGTTGAAGACAGCTTTGAATTACGTTGGTCTCTAGACGAGCTTCTTTCGCGTCGATGCTTGTCGGCATATCGACTTGGATTCGAGTGATCGGACGGATGGTGGGCAGGGCTCCGACCGCGACGTTCTGGGTTTCCTTCGCTACGATGCGGACGATCACACTGCCGATTACCACCGTGGTGCGCAGAAAATGGCGACTTCGACCTTGACCTTGTGTGTGATCTCTCTCTTTCGCGAACACGACCATATCCTCGATGATGTTCGTCGTGAGAGTCCTCGCGACGGTGCTCCGTCTCCTTTTCATCGTTTTCGCTGACATCGCTGTCATGGCCATATTTTCTCTTTCTCTTGAGTCGACGTTTTTCATCTCGCCGCGCTTGTTTTTTCTCTTTCTTCGCAGCCTTCTTGGCCTTTTTGTATGTCTTCTTTTCCTCTTTCAAACGGTCCACTTTATCCTTAATCTGTTTCATCTTGACTGGATTCTTCAGTACCTGTTCACGAGCAGCCTGCTGTCTTTTACGAATGAGCATCATCGGATCCTCATTCAGCCGCTGGAACGCGTCGTTAGCTGGCAACACACTCTTAGTCAGTGCTAATGATCCATACTTGGTCGTCGTACTGAGGTCCACGTCCTCTGTAGCGGGTTTCTCTTCTTCCCCCTTGTATTCTTTCCCCAGCAAAAATTCCTCCGCCGTCTTCTCCCGAGCAGCCGACGGGCCTTCGTACATCCAATCGACGCGTTCTACCGCTGCTGATTTATTGCCTTGATCCGCTTGTAGTTGTCTCAATTCCTGCAGCTGTCGCTCCTCTTCCATGTTCTTGCGCAGCTCTGCAACTTTCTTCTCTTCGGCCGCATGCTTTTGTTCGGCGATCCAGACCTTTTCTACATTCTGTAAAGGGTAAAAAAACAAGATCAATGAGTGGACAAGATAAAGAACAAGTAGAAGATGCAGATAGATCATTCCTACGTACGCGTAGATTTGCTGTATGCCAACTCTTTTTGGACAGGAACGCTAAAGACATGGCGTCTGGCTAATGCTATTTACTGCAAACAATGTTATTAGCGTCATTATGTGGACCACCTCGGTCAAACTAGCGGACGCTAGTGGACGAATAGTGGACGGTAGAGGACGGCAGTACCACCAAAAGTCAAATTAGAAGGAAAAGAAAAACTTAACTATGCTCATGTAGTCGCTATTTCTCGTGTAATGCGTACCGATTTTCTATGACCTGGTGACACGGTTGTCTCCTGGCCTTAAATTGAATTCACACGTTAGAGGTCATGAAAATCAAAATGCTGAGGTTGTGCATTATGAATTCAGGCATTTTCTCAGGTTCCTTTTGCAATCAGGTCAAAGGCTCCGAGAGTTTTGTGCCTGCACTGTTTCCTACTGCATCATTATGAAAGGCTGTAGTGTATCCTTGTCAAAGGAAGCGGCAGCAAAGTCACCTCTGTGATGTTAAAGGTGAAAAGTGGTATTGAATCACAAAGTAAGATTCAGTCAGGACACAAGAAAGAACTCGCGACTGTGGCGAGCTTGAAAACATTTTAGATCAACTCAACTTGCCTCATCATGGATGGAGAGATATCTTACATCCTTGATCAAGTGTGCTTTATTACTAGTGCGTAGGACGTCTTTATAGCTTGTTAACCTACACTTACAAATTTTCGCGGTCAAGCTCCAGTCAACCCAAGCCTCAGCCCTCATCACGGGTACCCCCCCCTTCGGCGAGATTCCTGGGCAGCAACCGGAACGGCACAGCCACTAGGGGACTTATCCGAGGGTACGACTTTTCATGATCGTAATCAACAGTCTATGCCCATCTTAAATGTTATGTGAATAGTGAAGCACTTCAGCTCCTTGACAGCCATTAGTTTTTTACAAATCAAAGAGCTCGTCATGCTTGATACTGTGACTGCAGTATTGAAATGGCTCGAATCTCATGGAACTCCCGACAATTTGTTGAATATTCGATACCTGGGTCCACTTCAAGGTCATGGGGTGTTTGCGAAGCAATCGCTTGCCAGTGGTCAAGTGACCTTAGAGATTCCTTTTAAACTTACGATGAATATCGAGTCTGCTATGCAATCGGATCTTGCCCCCGTGCTCGAGACATACCCACAGATCCTGGATGACGAGGTGCTGGCATTACACTTGATGCATGAGCGCAATAAAGGCAGTGGATCATTCTTTGCACCATATATTGCGTCTTTGCCAACCACGTTTGACCTTCCTGTCTTCTGGTCGGATACAGAGTTGAATGAATTGAAAGGCACAAATGTGTTGCTGCTGACGCATCTCATGAAGAAACGTCTGGAAAATGACTTTGACAACATCCACAAAGCAGTGATGGAAGCGTTTCCAAAGATTTTTGCATCACTACGGACGCTGACTCTTGAGGACTATACGTGGGCGATGAGTGTGATCTGGAGTCGTGCATTTGGTGTGAACAAGGGCGGGAATTACCTGCGTGTACTGTGTCCAGCAATGGATATGTTTAACCATGACGTGAGCTTGCATAACCCGTTGGATGATTACATTTCATTCGATGAGGAGAAGCAACTGATGACACATCATGTGCCGACAGACGTACCGGCTGGATCCGCATTAAGCATAAGCTATGGGCAATACTCGAATGCGAAATTGTTGTATTCGTATGGATTTGTTGCACACGAGAATCTTCGTCGGGCCGTGGATTTCTGGATGAAGATTCCACCGACGGATCCGTATGTAAAGCTGAAGCAAACTATTCTCGACTCGAACGAGCTTACCAGTGAGCACACGTACGACTTTTGCGGCACCCTCTTTATAAAGGATATCGATGAGAGGCTGCTAGCTACTCTGCGCGTAATTTTGATGGACGAACAGGAGATTCGTGTGTACAAGACGGTATGTTGGTCCCCACTCTGCGTGCTATGGTTGTCTTAGTGAAAGGCACTAACAAATTTGTTGTTGCCACGCATCTCTCTCCTGCAGGCTTTTACATCATCCATTATCAGCGTTCGCAATGAATTAGCAGTATATGAAAATCTGCAGAATGCGTGCCGCCGCAAGCTCGCGAGCTATTCGACAACGTATGTGAAGGATCTGTAGGGACAATCATGCCATTGGTTCCACTAACGAAACACTTAATATCGCATGCTTTCTAACAGACTTGAAGAAGACGAGATGATACTGGCTAACACGGAAGCGGAGTCAAACCCTCGCCTGTCGTTTGCAGTTCAAGTGCGCATCGAAGACAAGCAAGTGTTCATTGGAGCTATCGACACACTCGAGCAGTGGAAACAGGCCCTAGCCTTTCACCCTGATAGATACCCACCTAGCACCACACGATCGTAAAATGTTAATCGTTTGTGCATTTGTTCCTCTTCTGCCCCGGCAAATGTAATTCTTAAAGCTTAGAAAAAGACCGTTTGAGATACTGAGGGACTTCTTGATCATCGATTCAGATGCCTCGGAACAACATCATCACTTCATTTTAAATTAGTTGGTCAGTTTACGGTCGAGCAACTGTTGCAATATGCTCGGAGTAAAATACGGCAACCGCGTTTTCACCTCATCGTCCGAAAGGTACTTGGCTCCCCCAATGTGACCACGACATTTTAACGCTCCACACCGACAGTCAAACTTTTCATCCATGTCCCACTCACTCGTCGAGTAATCAAAGGTCAGATGTTCACCCTTTTTGATTGATGTAATAGCCACAAACGAGACTTTCGCTTCCGTCTCAACCACTTCTATCCGCGTATTGGGATTGCAGCTGTGGTTTATAAATTCCAATCCCCCAGTGAAATGCATGTGCTTGTTTCGAGTAAGTTGCACCGTGAACCGAGTAGGCATTGAATACTATACAAAGTATATATCCCAGTGAGTTTGTCGTCAGTACCATTCATCAACGTCTTTCTCTCTCTCTCTCTCTCTCTCTCTCTCTCTTCACTAGTATATCGCTTTACCAGATTTCCAGACACGAACCCAATGACATTTTCTTTCTTAAAGCTTTGGCCTGCGACAGCCGAACGCCAATGGTCGTTTCTATTCAAGTAGAAAACATGTCACACCCTCCAATTGTCCATTAGATTACAAACAATGGACAAACGTACAATTGTTTTATGTAAAATTGTCCGTCAGAGCCCGACGGGACGTAACTTTGCTCACGCTTTTGCTGTGCTTTGTCTTGTTGAGATCCATTCATTTGCTTTGCGTTGGCTAATGCAATGTCAGTTACAAAGTGACGACGATTAATGGAAGTTACTGAGCACGAGATCATTGGGATACAACGGCGCAACATGACGCTACAGATACAAATAGAGTATGCACCGAAGCAACTATTCTATAAAGATGCGCTATTTTCCAATTAGGAATCTCTATTTTTATATATATCATGTATAACGTATTAGATGAATATCTGATACGTTCTTATAGTCTGCCAGCTCTATCTATAAAAAACTCTATTTAATAGCGCGATACCGACCTGTACCGGTATGGCTAGCAATATTAACGTAGCTTTAACAAACTTGATATTGTATTCTATTTGTCACAATGTTGACATCACTTGCGACCTGTTCGCTTCAAGAGCTAAAGAAAGAGCCGTGGCGTCTGCAGGTCCAAGCGGATAATACCAAAGAACAACTACGCAACCTCGTGCTCAAGAATTACCACGTGTTTATTCAGAGCAACCAGTGCGCTGCAATCGTCAAAGATGATGTGTGATACGTCATTTCTAAAGACCATTTCTAACAATTATGATTTCTAATACTTTTTTTGCAATACAATTATTGTCCAATATTATTTTTGCGTAGCTAGCAAAGCTCAAGGAGGAAACAAGCAAGATCGAAGCTGCCATACCAAAGGTACAGGAATATTGCACTGAATTCGAGAAAGAAGTCGCAGATGTCGTGGTCAAGCACGGCGATATCCAATTCGTCTTTGAGCATTATTTGCAGGTAAATATTTCTAGTCTAAATTTATTTAAATTATTATGACTTATGCGACAATTATTGCAATTATTGTATTGTGTCTTACTTCAGTTAACGGAGCTGCTGGAGATCCCACAACTGCTGGAAGCTTGTATTCACAATGAATTGTTTGATTCTGCACTGGATGTGATTCAATTTGCCAATGAGACGTTTCGAGTTGACAAGAACGTGAATGGGTCGTACAATGTGGTCATTGATTGTCTAGTACAAGAGGTGATAGATATGACTAGCATTATGCGTAAAAGTCTATTACAAAAGCTACGTGAAGACCTGCAGCTGGCTCTGTGTGTTCGGATTGTGGGGTATCTTCGACGTCTGGATACTCTCATTGAAAAGGATGGAGTGGCAGCTGTGGGGTTATTGGAGTATGAAATGCAGCTAAAGGAGGAGTTTCTTGCCTGTAGAAATGTGTGGCTGGCTTCCTTAAGCCGAAGCATTTCATCTTCAGACCCGTATCAATATGTGCGCTTACAGCTACTAACTATTTGTTGGGAAGGCATGACACTGCAGCTAATTAATGATTTATGGTACTCAACTTGTAGATTGTTCAAGTTATTGACATCAAACGAACGAGCTGGTTTGACATGATTACTCAATACTTGGCAATCTTTGGCAGCGAGGTACGTCTTATTGATACGTGTCATTTTGATAGCAATAATGCTTGACAAATTGTGTTCTTGTTTGTACACGACACTGACGTTTAGAGTGTAGATGGTAAAGTAGATCCTCCACTTTGTCGCTGGGCAACAACAACGGTCGCAAATTTTATCCACATCCTCATGAAGTACGCTGGCATACTGAAAAATCATAGCTGCATGAAGTATCGTTTGCCGTAGTCATTTGATCGTAACCTAACTTCATCATTGCTATGACTAGACAATTGCCAAAGATCGATGACTTCAGCTCGATTGCGACGATTATTGAACAGAGTTTGTTCTTCGGAGGGTCACTGGGTCGCATCGGTGTAGATTTTCGTGCTGTGCTTGTTGTGTATTTCGAGGACCACTTGCTGAATATGATGACGGAGTATTGGCGATCCGCTTGCCGGGAGTTTCAGGAGAATCTAAATGCACACTCGTTGTCAGCATTCAGTGGTTCTTCATTATCAGCATCCTCGAAGACACCTATCGTGATTGCAACGCATCGCTCGTCAGCTGACACAAGTGTCACTAACTACATGTTTGCCTCTCGTCCGGCAGCTACCTCTTCCGATGGTGAGGACTATTCACCTCCACGGTGCCTCATGTCGTTTCCTTTGCTGGCTGAGTTTACCAACACGCTGCTATCGTCACTAAATGAGCTAAGGCTGTGCATAATTTTATCGCTGCGGAATCGTTTGGGTAAAAGGTACCAGAGCGCAATTGGCACGATGTTGCTCACAATCGCTGAGTTTGTTAAGGAGAACAGACTTGATCTCCACGCCTCAGCAGAAGAAAGCAACGGTGATGGATGTAACACAATTTCAAGGAATGCAAGGGCAGTGGCGCTCACTGATTCTGTTCGTGCGATGAACGAGGTACGACAACCAGACATATCCGACGTTTTATAGACCTGACAAGAGTATTTGACTGCTATGAATGCGTCCACAGGTCATTCATTCTGAACTCGTGCCATACCTGATCAAGTGCTTTCACCATCTGTTCCCTGTGTCTTCAGCAGCTACAGTTTCTGCCACCAGTGCCTTGAGCAAGGAAATCGAAGATTTTGATGTGATCATGCGCGAGGCTGGATTATTAATACCATCACAGTCGGACGAGCGCGAAACACAATCCATGGTGGATCAAAGTGCTGATTTGCTGGAACATAGACATCAGAACGCTGATGCGTTTGGCACTGACGTGGTCAATTCTTTTGCCTCCACAAGCTAAAGCGAAGACACTACAGCGAAGACACTACAGCGAAGACTTCACGCGAACATAAAAGACTGCTGCTAGCTATTTGGGAAAGAGAAAATACCAGGTGACATACTGTATGCGACTTCCAACGAGTACGAGTATTCCAGAGGCTCCTTTTTGCTTACTCAGATGCTACGAAGCACATAAGACGAGGTAAGAAAGATATGTCGATGTTTGAAGGTACCTCCTCGTGCTGTACAGGAACCAAGTCACCAGAAGAACTTGACAGATAGTCAACTTGCAACGACGTTTTGAATGAAGGCCTTATCTCTTCACGACCTGCATCAGACTCATGTAGGCGCTATGGTACTCGCCCAAACAGCGCATCGATCAGCAAATATACAATTTTCTTTTTTTCTCTGGATTCTTGGTGTCACTGAGACTGTTGTGTCTTCTTTCGATAAGATGCGAAAACTTGGCTGCAACAACATCACTCCAGTAGTGAATCTACAACAGCTTTTGTAAAGTTTCATCGTAGTGAAGACTGTACTCATGCGTATCAATAGCGGAGAAATTCGCAATGCAGCTTCTTGAAATATCTTACCACGCTTGGACATGTATACGGCAAGAATGCAGACGAAAAGAATCGTCACTTCTTGAGGTCTGGCTAATCTCAAGCCTAGATCAGATTTGAGCAGCAACGACAACGAAAATAGTAGATGACGCCGTTCATGTTGATTGTCCATATGCATCGTCAAATGCAGTTCATAGCTTGCCGTCTTGATCAAGGGAAAGCGATACGCAATCCGTCATAAGTCATTTCGATATTCAGACCCTTCTCGTGACCCATCTTGGGCAATTCAATACTATGTTTCGGGTAATCAAAGTCATGGCTCATGCCTGTAAGCAACAATCGCTTCGGCTTGAAGGTCACAATTTCTTCCATGACCTTTTGCAAGTTCATGTGCGTGCTGTGGTATTTTTCCAAATAAAGTGCGTCGATCAGCAAAACATCGATCTGAGGTTTGCTTGCATCATTTAAGAAAGCTTTGGTCTCGTCGGGGATCTCGCTCACGTCAGAAATGTAGACGACCCGTGCACCAACTTCAGATCCAAACTCGAATCCGAACGACGTGTATCCTGCTCCATGAATCACTGGGAACGGCAGAAACTTGAGGTCACAAGCTTCAAACGGTTCCCACGAATTGAACGGGTCAACTTGAAGCTTGGCGGTCCATCGAAATGGTTTCGGTACTGCCTCATCAAGTGAAGGCAAAGGTTCATTATCAATCAAGTACGGGAACTTGACAATCACGTCGTGACTTGTGCATTCACTGCAGTGCACCTTGATAGCTTTAGGAGGGATCTTGTATAGCTCCTTGGTCTACTGGATCGACAGTCTCAACATGAGCTTGAACCTCTCGGAGGTCATCCATACCGAGCAATGCATCAGCGTGGTCATGCGTCAGCACGAGTGAGTGAATAGCCGAGACGCCAATCGTAGGAAAGATTCGAAGTGCGGCTTCACGAAAGGTTTTGCCACAATCAATGAGAACGTTCGTCTTCGTTGTCAAGTTTCGAACGAGTAGACTCGGGTTAAGTCGACGGTTCTTTGAGTCTGGATTCGTATGTGCTTCGAGACACACTGCGCAATTCTGACTTAGGATACAACGCATGGATGGCACGGAGGACGACGGACCGCAACCAAGCACAACTACATCCATTTTGAATGGAGCTCTAGAGAAAAAGGAAGTTGATCAAGCTAATCGGATACTAAGGGGGCGGGCGATTAAGGGGGGTTAACTACTGGAATGTATCGTAGGCAGTACAAGAAAATGCATTCAATGTCACCCGTTCTAGGCCACTCGTTTGCAGAAATGGACCTTTTCATGATTCTTACTAGAAAAAATGCACTCATGAACAACTCAAAGGGAGCGGTACCAGTATCATGACTATAAATTGCAAGTTGTTTATGCCTATGGCTTAGTGACTATAGGATGATTGACAAAGAATACTGTATGTGTATACTAGACTATGTAAAATCTCTATGACTTGTATTTGATAATCAATGAATACAGTGGTTTCAAGTTCATTCGAATGAAGGCCACCCGAACATAGAGAAATGAGGACAGTGAGTTCTTCTATTCAAAGTATTCTTAATGAGAATTCATAAATGAATGAATTTCTTACTTAAGTTTACAGAAAACAAATCGACTAGTGTTTCGTTTTACAGTTTTTTTTCCTATTTGTTGAGCAGACGTTCCTTTGGCATGCAAATCACTGGTGATTCACATAAACTATTGTCATTAATGCCACGTGGAATGTTATTTTTTCCTCTAAAGTACGGTTTTAACCGTATGATTAAAGTCTTCGTAGTAGCAAGTAGGAAAATATTACATCATAACTATTATATATCAAGGTTTAATTGAATATGTGACGAGGTGCTCACTTTACTGCCAGTAAATTCACCACGTGAATATTCTGGACTCTCCTCGTACTTTGTCGGGTATTAACGACGCGTGGCATTTGCTCACTTGTTTTTCGTATTGCCATACAAATCAAAGTACATTCAATCTAAGTTTTTTCTAGAAGATCCGTGTTTTTGGCCACGTCAGCATTCTTTTCTCTTTCTTTCACTATACTGCCTTTTATTCAAAGTACTTTGAATATTCCATCTCTTGTCTCCCAAGCCCTTGTCATTATCGATTTTATCAGACGAAAGAGAAAGCATTCGAATGAATCTTGCTAAGATCATTCTCATCGCCGCGGCGGCGGCTTTAGCCAACGTCGCAATTGCTGACGAGACGAAAGGACCACGTGGTCCAGTCATTGGTATTGACTTGGGTACAACGTACTCGTGCGTAGGCTTTTACAAGGACCAAAAGGTTGAAATCATTGCCAATGATCAAGGTAATCGTATCACGCCTTCTTACGTTGCTTGGGACTCGAACGATGAGCGTTTGATTGGTGATGGTGCAAAAAATCAAGCTACGATTAATCCGGAGAAGACGTTATTTGATGTCAAGCGTCTGATTGGTCGTAAATACAATGACAAGTCGGTCCAATCGGACAAGAAGTTGTTGCCTTATGAACTCATTAATAAAGATGGAAAACCTTTTATTCAAGTGACTGTCAAGGGTGAGAAACGTCAATTTGCTCCTGAAGAAGTCTCTGCCATGGTCTTGACAAAGATGAAGCAGATTTCGGAAGGATACATTGGTCGTGAAGTGTTTGACGCTGTTGTGACAGTCCCTGCTTACTTTAACGACGCTCAACGTCAAGCTACAAAGGATGCTGGTACCATTGCTGGTCTGACCGTTCAACGGATCATTAATGAACCGACAGCTGCTGCTATTGCCTATGGCATTGACAAGAAGGCACAAGGAGAGAAGAATGTGCTGGTCTTTGATCTAGGTGGAGGAACCTTTGATGTGACGTTGCTGGCGATCGATGGTGGTGTGTTTGAAGTCCTGGCAACGAACGGGGACACGCATTTGGGTGGAGAAGACTTTGATCAACGGATCATGCAGTACTTTATTAAGAAGTGGAAGAAAGACAAGAACATTGATATCTCGTCGGACAAGCGAGCGTTGCAGAAGATTCGTCGTGAAGCAGAACGTGTGAAACGTGCGCTGTCTGCTCAAGCTCAAGCTCGTCTTGAAATTGAATCGTTGCTGGATGGAGAGGACTTTACAGAGTCTTTGAGTCGTGCACGTTTCGAGAAGCTAAATGAGGATTTGTTTAAGAAGACACTTGGTCCTGTGGAGAAGGTGATGAAGGACGCGGACCTCAAGAAGTCGGAAGTTGATGAGATTGTGTTGGTTGGTGGTTCGACCCGTATCCCCAAGGTCCAGCAATTGATCAAGGATTACTTCAATGGCAAGGAACCGTCGCGTGGTGTGAACCCTGATGAAGCTGTTGCTTACGGTGCTGCTGTTCAGGGTGGTATCCTTGGTGGCGAACAGGATGAACTGACCCAGGACGTGCTTCTGATTGACGTGGTACCTCTGTCTCAGGGAATTGAGACTGTTGGTGGTGTCATGACCAAGTTGATTAATCGTAACACTGTGATCCCGACCAAGAAATCGCAGACGTTCTCGACTTACCAGGACAACCAGCCTGCTGTGTTGATCCAGGTGTTCGAGGGTGAGCGTGCTATGACAAAGGACAACCGTCTTCTCGGCAAGTTCGAGCTCACTGGTCTGCCGCCTGCCCCACGTGGCGTGCCCCAGATTGAAGTGACGTTTGAGATTGATGCCAATGGTATCTTGCAGGTGTCTGCTGAGGACAAGGGCACTGGCAAGGCTGAGACGATCACGATCACTGCGGAGAAGGGCCGTTTGTCACAGGAAGAGATTGACCGCATGGTCCAGGAAGCTGCCGAGTTCGCGGACGAGGACATGAAGGTGAAGGATCGTATCGACGGACGCAACGCTCTGGAGGGCTACCTGTACAGCCTAAAGAACAATGTCGAGGACAAGTTGGAGGACAAGATCGACGAGGACGACAAGGATACGGTCTTGACTGCTGTGCAGGACGCCATGGACTGGTTGGAGGACAACCAGGAGGTCGACAAGGAGGACTTTGAGGCGAAACAGAAGGAGGTCGAGAAGATTGTAAACCCTATCATGTCGAAGGTGTACCAAACGGGCGGAACTGCTCCGGAGGAAGATGGCGACGACGATGACGAAGACGAGCACGACGAATTGTAAACGACCACGACTGAATTGCGAAATGCATGCTTTGGAAAGTTTATTGTCTCCGTTATATTTCTTAATTACACGGTCATATTTCCTTACGAGTTGTTTCTTGTCTTAATGTGGTTAAAGCTTGGTTACCTGTAGCCATAGTAGTGGCCACTGCCATCATGATGTGAACCGTATATCGTATCGTAGCCAGTTCAACCTACTGGTCTGGAACGATTCGACTTTAACGGGCTCAATTTGTACAGCTGGATAGTGTGGACAGCAACGACTCCACAACAACTTCTTGACCCAAGTAATGCACAGGAGATCCGGGACATGCGTGCGTGTTACTCCAAAGGCATCGAAAAGAAGCTGTCGGATACTGAAACTCGGTTGCCTAGCGGCCTACAGAAGGTCGACTCGATTGCTACAAATGACGCATATGATGAAACAACCACAATAAAAACGGTCGGAATTCTTCAGCTTCTACTACATGGCTCAGTCAACAAGACTGGCAACTATTCAGCTACAATCGGCAAGTACAATTGGATTCGTAAGGACTGGCATGTCAACTATACAGATCATGCCAATTGTAACGATCGATACAACTTCAACAAGCGCCATCGAAATAAAAAAAACGTCACTCCAGCTTCAGAGTCTCGAAAATTAGTGCGACTTGCCACTTTATATCTGTAGCAAGTGGTTAGACACTCCCGGCTCAATCAGGTTCAGCATCGAGCCAGCAGAAGCACCAGGCATCCGGAGCTGTTGACCTCGACAATTGCGTGCTTTCATGGGCGCCATTGCTGGAGACTGCTGAGCTCTTGACTGCATCAACAAATTATGCTCGATGGTTTGTGATGCTCACTTTTCAATTTGCATTGTCCACGACGTCACTTTCAGCTTGACTTCCTTCCTGTCCGGAAGGCAAACTTAAACTTGCAATGACGGACAGCTATATGGGTAGCAGTTGCCGAGGTAGCATCCAGAGCTCCGACTTCCAGAGCAGTGCAGCGTCGCCTGCATCAACACACAATGCATTCTTGTCGGAATCATCCATCAATGCACTTGTGACTGACGGCGATCTATTCACCACAGCAGCATGTGTTGTACCTAAGCTTCGAGCAGTTCTGGAATACCGCAAAGACATCAGTCGCACTAGCACCATGTGGCAAATGATATCGCCAAACAGACAGCAACCACCATGTTGGGTCGTCAAGAAGAAGCACCATGATGTAGAGATCAGTGAGTTTGATCGAGCCAATCTCCCATCAATAAGGAGTAGTGACAGCTCCAACTGGTTTTGTGGCTCAGCGAGAGCTACTGACAGCCGTTGCTCGATGATTGAGCCTCGTGAATCGCTCTATACTCGCAACGCTTTTCTAGAAGAGCATACTCACTCGGCGGGGCAGGCGAGAGAGCTGCTGCAATGGCCACGTAACGATCTCAATGTCACTTACGCTGTATCAGCACAAGTCACACTGAACTGCCGTCTGGAAGAGGCGATGACTATGTTGTTCAGCCGTGAAACGCTACAGTTCGATGCCAGCATGGGTGCCCTCTTTGGTGCTAGGAAGTACAGGAGCGGCGATCTGCTGGTTTCGCGTGAGTTCCACAAGAACCTGCACACTAGTCTGGCGATGGACTACGGGGACGGTAATGTACCTTACTGGGAAAACGAAGACTTGAGCAATCTCTCTCAGCCCGGATGGGTCGCGCTGCAATCTGTGGTCCTACGTTCCCGTCGGTCACTCAACCCCATGGCAGCGGCCAAACATACCAGCCGCCGCCAGAGGCTTTGCTTTGCTGTGTACTCGCAGCACTGCCCCGATACGAACGAGGCTTTTTACACCATGAAGACATTGCCCAAGCCCACACATGATCAATTTACATGCCGCAGAAACCAGCGCACCACAGAACAGGCCATTCGAGGCGACACGGACCATATCGCTGCTGGGTACCATCTTGCAAGCTCCTATAGTGATCTGAATGGACATCAGACGAGAATCGTCATGACTGCATATGTCTGCAACACGCCAGCAGCGATGACAACTGATGTCCATCGAAAGCGCTCCAAACCCTGGCCAAGAGGTCAGTCTGATGTTGGCGCAATCTCTTCTCATCGACACTACTCGTCTCCATCAGCCAATACTGAGGCAAAATATGTCGTAAATCTACTCGCGTCTGCGACTACGTCGTTCGAACAGCTCGTGCGACGCCGGCGTTTCGGTAATCAGCTGTTCGTAAACACGCCAACAAACCGTGACTCAGCGCATAACGATATATGCTCGGTATGTCTCAAGCGTTTTGGACTGCTACGCCCTCCACGGTTCTGCCAGCTATGTGCACAGTGTGTCTGCCGTGAATGCTCACAAAAGTTTGACGTGGAGTTGATTACACGCAGACTGCACCGCGACCGAATATGTTTTGCGTGTGTGGCCAATGCCGATGCCAGCGTGTTTCAACGGAAGAACCCGCTCTTGAACGCGTCATTTTCGAGGGTTCCCACTGCAGCAGCAACTGCAATGAGACCTTATCCAGACGACCGACAAAACGAGGCCGATGGTGTGGCTCGTGCAAAGATATCTGCATCCTCTTACGATCACTTGTTCAATCTCGACGATGACGGTTGCAATACGCAATCACTGAACACGGCATCGCAGGCTACATATGAGGCACAAATGAACCAACTGGATCGCAGTAGCAGTGCTACCACAACCACGGCATCATTTTCGTCGACGCCTGGACGGCAACTGGCCGACGCCTTGTTTTCCAGTAACCCCCTGACACGGGCTCGTGCACTTGAAGTCGTACGCAAAGTGGTAAAGCAAGTGACATCTGATTCGTCGCTGGCTAGCGCAACTTCGACATCATCATCGTCTTCATCATTCAAGTCATCAATACCAGCCTTCCACCCGCAGTACCCAGACAGAAAAATGATAGACAAGTATTTGGAGGCACGTCTTCATCTGTCCAGTATTTCGCTCAGTGGTGCTTCTGCTATTACAACAAGCAGCATCAATGACCAGCGTAATCGATCAGGCTCGCTTTACAGCATTCAAGAGGTGATACAATGTCGACAACGCAGCACAAGTGGCCAGTGCTCTTCCTCCTCGATTAAGTTTGACACGAACACAAGACCTCCGGTCATACCGCTACCCACAACCATGGAAACAGAGCTGGATTTAGACGAAGAAGTGGACTCAGCAGCGCTCGACTCGATCTGTGAGGTCGCAGCTATCCGGATGCGGTGTTCGATCGCGTACATTGTGGCACTCAACGGGTGTCACAGCTCTCAAGCTCAACGCGTTGTAGGATCTTCCAGTGCTCCATGTCCATGGATGGAGGAGATGACAGTGGATCCATTATCCCTAGTGGCCAACAGCAAACCATTCGTAATCATGGACCCGATGCATGATCCGCAGTTGTGTCATCTGCGACTTGTGCGAGATATTGGCGTGCGATTTTTTGCTGGATTCCCCATCAAGTCCCCTGATGGTTCAATTGTTGCCTGTCTATGTACGGTGGACACGCAAACCCGAGCGAAAATCTCACTGGAGGACATGAAAGCCATGCACGCATTGTCCAAGCTTGCATCTGATCTCTTTGAAGAGGAAGTGAACCCATATACACCTCGAAGTTTACATTCGTAATGGCTTCAAAAAAAGATGTTACTTCACAGTCACTTTTACTACTTTTCTTGGACAACCCCTATGGGTATAGTGTATACTCATTCCGTATGCAGCTACGTCTGATCACACGTCGCATATACGCGTCAATGCGGTCAAAGTTGACGCCATTGTCGATAATTGAGCAATTACATCCTGCTTTAAAGTCGAAAGAAGCTTTGTACAGCAATGAAATAGCTTGGATCGGAGTTGTGACCACTGCAGCTTTGGGAGTCGCGATACTGACGTCTTCAAGTAACAACGTCGAATGTGGATCAACTATTGACGATTTCACGACAAGAAACTCAAAGATGGAGCAAAGAGGACACTATGCACTATTAAAAGAGCTCGGTCGAGGAGGTTTTCCAGGATTTTTGTTACTTCAGCTCGTTGTGCACAACTTACAACGTCCTTTTTCTTTCTTTGATTGAATTGTTTTAGGGTTTTCCATTGTTCGTCTTGCAATTGATTTGAATACGCAAGAGGTAGGCAATTAGTATAGAACTTGATCATCCATAGTTCGTTAATATTTTTATGTGATACTTTTTGTACCTTGAAGATGCTTGCTGCAAAAATATTCGATCCAAAAACCTCTTCGCTCGAGACAATTCATGCAGAGGTATTTCGTTGTACAGCTATAGTTGAGGTTTAGTAATGGTACTGATTTCTGGGTTTTGTTTGGTTGGTTGGTAGATTGACATTTTAAAGTATCTTGGTGTTCACCGAAACATTGTGTCACTGCACGATGTGCTGTATCTAAAGACCGAGACGATAATGTTGACAGACTTGGTCGAAGGGGGCGAACTTTTCGACTATATTGTCGATCTGGTGGGGATACATGTGATGAGGTTTTTACATCCTTGAACGCATAAAACTAACGAAAGTATCACTGGATGCTGTTGCAATAGGGATCTGTATCGGAAAAAGATGCCGCTCATTTGCTTCATGATGTCTGTCAAGCTCTTGACTATATGCATTCGCGTGGTGTATGGTCAGTCGTACTGTAGTGGCTACTATTCCATCAAATTCTCATGTTTTCTTTCTTCCTATTCCTAGCCACCGCGATCTAAAACCGGAGAATATCTTGCTGTCAGATCGGTCCGCCAGTGCAAACATCAAAATAGCGGTGAGAAAGCCATTTACTGCATTAGTTTGCTATTATGCCGTAGACAATTGATTCTTTGTTTGGTTTGATGCTTTCGTTGTCAGGACTTTGGGCTCAGTCGTAGACAACGACAGGGAGAGCAGACGATCGAGAAATTTCCAAACGGGACTGTGTAAGCATGACTGAAGAACAACTGATTGTATTACTAGCCATCGCTAACCTTACTTATTTGTACAGCGCGTACTGGGCTCCTGAAATTATCAGGCGCCAACCTCAGGATTTCGGTGTTGACATGTGGGCATTCGGGGTACTGGTAAGAACCAACAAACTTATCGTTGCAGTTTGCGTCTGATTACTTATTGGTGTGCGTAACGCGATCATGCTCTAGGCCTACATCACACTCACAGGAGTACACCCTTTCGACCCAAGAGGTGACAAGTCGGATGCTGAAATTGTGAGAGAGATTGCAAAAGGAAAATACGACGGTGCGTTTAGTAGATCGTGGTTTAGTAGGCTTTCGTCTGACATTTGAGCGGTATAAACTTGCGTGTAGTGGAGAACGAATGGTACAAGGGCCTTTCAATGGAGGCAAAGGATTTCCTGACACGGCTTTTAGACTTGGACCCAGCTCGTCGACTGACGGCGCAACAAGCGTTGCAACATCCATGGCTTTGCGGTGTTTCTACATCTATGGAGCTTCTGGACAACGGCCATTGTCAGCGTCTACAATCGTATCAGCGTTTGCAGCGTCTTCGTGCTAATATCCTGGCTGTCGTCATGGGCGTGCAGCACGCAAAATTGGGTTCAACACCCCGTGCTCATGCAAAGCAAGATGCGTCACAACGGACAACAACATTGAATATGGACATGTTTAGAGAGACGTTTGCTCTCTTTGACAAAGACGAATCTGGCTGCATTGATCAAGACGAGTTGAAGAACATGCTCTTAGCACTTGGACAACAACTCTCCAGGTTGGTCGTCCTTTGATGCACTTTATGATCACTACTTTCTGAGCTATTGTGCTGACTGGATACTGACTCGTGTGTGATGCTTTTTTTTTCAACAAGCTCGGAGATTGACCAAATCATGCGACAAGCCGACACTGATAAGGATGGCAAGATTTCATTCACCGAGTTTGTGAGCATGATGAATCAACGACTTTTTCGTCGGTACGATTTTGTTAATATTTGTGAAGACGGCTTACTTTTCTCACCATTGTAATTGTATTTTATCTTATAGGGGGAATCTAACGACTGGAGATCTCAAAGCAGCTTTCAATGTACGTTTTTATTTACAACGTATGTGTTTTATATCGTAGTTATATGGGATATAATGCACGCATTTGTAACTTTTTTCTTTTGAAATAGACATTTGATGTAAATCGGGACGGATTTATTTCGAGGAAGGAACTTGAGCATATTTTGTATGTACTTGGGAATAAACGCATCAGCAATGAGGAAATGGGGAAAATCATTCAAGCAGCTGACAAGAATGAGGACGGAAAGATCGATTATGACGAGTTTTGCGCCTTGATGCAACAACAGACAACGATCTAATGCGGTTTATTACCATGATGAAATGAAGTTGCATCAATGATGGCAAAAAGTACCCATTTTGACTGGCTAATGGACCAAAAAAAACAGTAAAAGACTGATGCTCCATGAACCTCTGTGATTGGTGGAAATCATTTCATGTGACGTGGTACGAACAACAAAATTTAAGTCAACAATTGCAAACTTCTCGTTGCTTTTCATTTTGTTTGTATGCGAGGCCAGAGCCACATTAAGAAACACCAAGGACGTGTGATTAGTGGAGGGACCATCATGGGATACCTAGTGCAGTGTCATTTGTCGTAACGCAAGATGGTATGTTTCTTATGCGAGCATAGACTGGTAGAACAAATATAAAAAAATCTAAAATCCTTTTAGATTGGATAAAAATGAGTTATCGCTTCATATAAATAGAAATATGTTTTGCAAAATCATAGTACGCATTTCTATAATATATCGACTTGTACAGGAATCGATTTTCACGAGTGTTGATTTATTTTTATCAACACAACAACCGTAGCCATACTGAATACAAGTGACATTTTTTACACTACGTTACATTGTAGAAAAAATGATGGAGGAATCGACTGTTGTGTCACCCGTAAAACCCCACGTGGAATCACCTCAAAGCATCGAGAATGTAGTAGTAGCAGCAATGAGATCATCTATCCCCATAGCAAGTGATATGGACGAGAGAGAGAAGAGCTTGATAAGAACGCAGCAAGAAACGCATCAGCTTAATGAAGACGGCATCGAGTCGGATAAAGCTCATACGGATACTGACAATGAGGAAGAAATGGAGCAACATAAGAAGGAGCAACATAAGGAGGTTATGTCAACGTTAGTGGAGACGTTGATAGTGGAATCTACAAGTCTTGAAGAGGAGAATGGAGAGTGTAAGACGTCTATGGGGCAACCTTTAGCGAAGGATATTAGAGAGAAAGATGTGTGTGTAGCTATGGAAGAGCAGAGTGAAAAGAATGTGGAAGTGGATGTACAAAAGGAGACTATAGAGGAGCAAAAGAAGGAGAATGTTGCTGAGGTGGTTTGGGTGGTGCAGTCACCACTACAGTCGACTGCTGTGAAGACTGTTGCTGCTAAAGAAGTGGAGGTGCACAGTGAGATGAAAGTACAGAATGAAGTTGAGCTGAAGGTGGTGCCTAAGGTACAGAATGGAATAAAGGCTAAAGTGCAGAATGAAGTGGTGCCTAAAGTGCAGAATGAAGTGGTGCCTGAGGTACAGGATGAAATAAAGGCTAAAGTACAGGATGAAGTGGTGCCTAAGGCACAGGATCAACTAAAGGCTAAAGTACAGGATGAAGTGGTGCCTAAGGTACAGGATGAACCAAAGGCTAAAGTGCAGAATGAAGTGGTGCATAAGGTACAAGATGAACCAAAGGCTAAAGTGCAGGATGATGAAGTGGTGCCTAAGGTACAGGATCAACCAAAGGCTAAAGTACAGGAAGATGAAGTTTTTGTGCCTAAGGTACAGGATCAACCAAAGGCTAAAGTACAGGATGATGAAGTTTTTGTGCTTAAGGCACAGGATGAACTTAAGGGTAACGTGCAGGATGAAGTGGTGCCTAAGGTACAGAATGAAGCGGACACTAAAGTACAAGATAAAGAGAAGACTACAGTATTGATAATGGAAGCTGAGGAACACGAAGTGGAGCTTGTGATTTCGTCTCCAAAGCGCTTGACTCCACTGAACCTGGTACATCATGATATTGATGATGAAGAAAGTGACAGTGAGGACGAGGAGGAGGAAGTAGCTCCAAGGGAAGCTGAAGAGGAAGGTGCTGATTTGGGTACACCTCTAGGTTACGGAGGCGGTGCTAACTTTGACGAAGAACAAGCTGATTTTGCATCGCATCGTTTTCTGGGTCCAAGTGTAGCAACGGATCCGAGTTCAGTTCGTGCGTTACACAGCTTACGTCGTGTTGCACTTCACGACAAGCCGCCTCGCTTTGTTAGTGAGGCACCAGTGATTACAGCTAGAACTGCCAGCTTGACGAGCAGCGGCGAGTCTTCAGGACGGAACTCGTCCAGTGCAACTGTAACTTACACTTCTGATGGCTTACGCTCGCAATCTGAAGCCGGTTTCGTGGAAAACATGCTCAACACTTACACTTTAACGTTTACTGAGCCTGTGCTTGGTTTCGATACGAACATTGTCATGTCATTAGAGAACGAGTTAATGGTCGAAGTCTGGAGTGTAGAGAAGGACAGTCCTGCACAGCGTGGCGGTGTGGTAGTGGGTGACAATCTGATCAGCGTGAATGGGCAGCACATCGAGCCACACATGACAAAGGAGCAGGTACTTAAGATGATTGAAGCCTCTACGATTCCACGAACGCTCCTGTTCCAGCGTGACATGCACGACAAGGATCCGTCGCAGTCGAAAAGTCTGCCTGACAAGAAGCTCGTAACTGCAAAACCTCTAATGGGGCGTCTGGGTGCAGCAATGAGCCAAGGAGCGTCCTTGATTGGCTCCAGGTTGAAGCGTAAGAAAACGCTCGTGCATGAGAATTCGTTCTGCGATGGCTGTGGCATGGATCCGATCACTGGTGCGCTCTGGACGTGCAGCGTATGCTCCAACTATAACTTGTGCAACGAGTGTTATGACGTCGGCACGCATGGCATGGAAAACACGGAGCAGATGCAGGCACTCAATGAGGCCATTGTGCAGTATAAGCTACAGAAGAAGTGCAAGCATTTCACGCCCGAGTTTTTTCTGTCGCTCCGCCGCGATATTTGTAAGGGACGACCAGACAAGTTTGAGTACTTGGGTGAATGGATTGCAAACATTGTGGTGGGCACGTCTACAGCAAAAATTACAGTACGAGGTATTGAGATTCCATCCCTTCCACCTGCTGCGCGTCAACGATTCGTGTCACATCTTATGCCGCTAGTGTCTAATCGAACGGATATCGAAGTAAACATTGAATGGCTGCCTGATGAAGCGGATCCATCTAGCGCAGCTGGTCGCCCAAGCGTGGATCGAATGAGTGTTGGTGTATATGGCAGTGAAGAAGAAGACGACGATGGCGTTGGTAACGTTCCGGACAATTTAGAAAAGCTACGTATTTGGATTTCCGACAAAAAGACACGCACGACGTCACCATTTGCGTGAGAGGTTACGTCGCCACGAGAAACAATCAACATTGACTCGATTATTCTGTCAATCCATAGGAGAAGAAACCCCAGCAGGGAGAACACACCTACGTAGTACATGTAGGTTTTCAATATGCCATTTGAACCTGTGTAGCCATGTGATAAATTATCCACTTGTTAACCATGTCAGTTAACTGTTGCAAAAAAAACATTGTACACCTCTTTAAACTGATCCACTTGCAATCAATCATATTCAAAAGGTCCTCGACGATGTGTGGCAGCAAATAATCGGACAAGATGCTGGCTTCGTTGCGCTTCCAGATGGGTGCATTGACGCTTCGCCCGGCCGTTGGGAGCGCTTTCATTGGGCGTATGACCCAAGCAACGCTCTCTACGACTGCTGTAGAAGGCAAGACCGTTGCTATGGACGATGATACTGCCGTATTCCTGAATTCTACGTCTCCATACGAGCCACGCACCGTGAAAACCGTAAAACGTGCGATCCGTGGAAGCCCTCAGAAGCTCACGTACTTGGCTCAGCAGATTCGTGGATTGTCAGCGAAGGAGGCTATTTTGCAGATGAAATTCTCACCCAAACGGAAGGGAGAGATCTTCCAAAAGACGGTGCAGAATGCCATTAATTTGGCCGATATCAAGTATCAGATCGAACCCGAGAATCTCATGGTGGCCGAATGTTTCGTTAACAAAGGGACGTATCTTAAGCGGATGCGAATTATGGGTCGAGGTACATGCACTGTGGATTGTCGATTGTATTAGAAAGAGAGAGAGAGAGAGATTAATTGAATTGTGGTGTTATTACAGGACGTTCGGGTGTGATGCATCATCCTTATACTCATTTGACAGTAGTGTTACGTGAATTTGATCCGTCCAAGAAACCTCTGAATCGCCACATGACGAAGAAGCTTGCACGTGAGAACGCCAAGAAACAGCTAAAGCAGAAGGCAAGTCTGGAGAAATAGAATAAGCACTCGATGAGCACTCAGTGAATGCAAGTGAATTGTTTCGAGGCCAATGGCTTCGTCACGACAAATGCATTTCGACTTTTTTCTTCCACTTTATCTGTCTAGTTCGATTGATGTTTCTTGATTTTACGAGACCCTGTTGTGATTGTGACAGACCATGAACTGTCCCTGATGGCAGCTATAGATAAAAAATCTCATCTCTCGTCCCACTCATATGGGACATGCCGGTCAAGTGGAAGCGACGTTTTTTTTGAGACGACCTACAGTTGTGTGTTCAAGAAAATCTTTCATGGATTTCTCCATTGATTGTTTTGTCTCGTGCTCACTTACGAACAAAAGATGAAGTGGTCGGAACTGCTCGGCCCCAAGCTTCAGACGAAGGAAGGTCTGCAGGATACGGACGACAGGCTCACGGGGAAGAAGGTGGTGGGTTTCTACTTCTGCGGGCACAAGCTCGGGCCGCTATTTGAACATTATACGTTTTACCTGAAGGATTTGTACCAACACACGATCATGGCGTACCCCGAGGTTGAGTTTATCTACGTCTCTTCGGACAGTGACTTAGAACAGTACAACAAGTACTTTGAGCTACTAAAGTTCCCGGCGGTTCCATTCGATGAGCGCGCGACTATCGAGGCTCTAAACACTAAATTTGGCTTTCAAGCTTATCCGATAATGATCTTTTTCAACGGAGAGGGCAAGGTCATTACTTCAGACGGCCTATGTAGGGCTGTCAACGTGCGCGGAGATGGGTATTTTTTGTGGGAGGGACTTATGAAAAAGCAGTATCCGGATAACTATTGGGAGTACACGCGAAGTCGCTATGGGAGGCGCTGGAAGTAATGCAGACCATTGGCTGACCACTTGCATGAGTTTGTAAGCGTTGGAGACTTCGGAGTAATGGAGAAGAATGATAACTGGAGGAGAAAGATAGGTAATATATGCAAGTCAGTGAGTGGTGCATGGCAGTATATTGTTTGCCTAAATTATCAAGTTATGCAAAAGAAAACGAATTATTCTTGAAACCTGATAATGCTGTTCTTTTCGGTTACGTCTAGATAGGTCGCCTATCGTTTATTACATATAGTTTTTAGGTTTTGGTTTATGTAAAACACCTCTTCATTTATATAAATCTTTCCGCTACAGTTATTTTTCATCCGGTTGTTTTCGTGGATTTCTGACTCGGCGTCTCCACTATTTTGTCTTGAGATTCCATACTTTCCTCGCTCATTCTTTCTCTCGCTCTCAAGCCACACAATCATTCATCCTCCCATACTGAACATGAAGTGGTCGGAACAGCTTGGCTCAAAGCTCCAGACGAAGGAAGGGCTCCAGGATACGGACAAGAAGCTTGCGGGGAAAAAGGTTGTAGGCTTTTACTTTAGCGCGCACTGGTGCCCGCCATGCCGTCAGTTCACACCTTTTTTGAGCGCATTGTATGAAGATATGATTGAGGAACACCCAGAATTTGAGCTGGTCTTTGTCTCATCGGACCGTGACCCAACGCAGTACAATGAGTACTTTGGGGAGATGACGTTCCTGGCTGTTCCTTTTGAGGAGCGTGCAACAATTCAAGCTCTGAGCACCAAGTTTGGGATCACGGGAATCCCAATGCTGGTCTTTGTGGACGAAGAGGGCAAGGTCATTACGTTGGATGGACGTAGTGTCGTTACCAACTCACGTGGAGACGTGAACACGCTATGGGAACAGCTTACGAAGTAAAAACAACGCAGGCTGCTCTTTTGCAGTGTTAGGTCAGTTGGTCGATCCCATGAATAACTGATACTGTAGCCATTTTTTTCCATCTTTTGTTGAGTTATAATGTTATGGAGCAAGACCATGATGGAGTATTTGTTACATTGCTGAAGATAAATATGATGTTGCCAAAATGTTGCGGGTAAAGTTATGATAGCCTAAAATGTTTGTAGTACAGTACAGTTCTCTTGATATGATTGGTGAGAAAAAGAGGCTTACGAAAACTACTAAATTGGTCAATCATTTGTAATTCTATTTTTAAATTTTGAATCAAACCGACTGCTGACGACAACTTGGAATTTGTATCACGATATATCACCCATACTACTACCACTACTACCACTACTACTATTACTACTAATTGAAGAAAAACACCTCTCTTGAATGGCGCCAACAACACGCCCCATATACGATGAAGATCCTGATGCTTTATACCGTAGTGCACCTCCACGTGTACCGAAAGTTCGTGCAATTTCATCGACCGATCGTCTTTTGAAACCCACCAAAGCGTCACTTGCAGCGTCTAGAAAGAAAGTTCTAACTGGAAAAGACAAAGAGTTGGCGGAGGCACGTGAACAAGCGCGTAAACGACGTCGATTGAATCGAGTTGCCAAGGAAAATGGGCGTCTGACGATCCCCCAATCACCCAAATTTCGTCCAATGAAGAAGACGACACCCCGGTCTCGAGCTGACATGCTGACCAGGACGTCTCGAGAACTGCTGGAGATTGCGGCCATTCGTAAACGAGTCCAGGCTCAGAAACGGAAAACTCAAAAGTATCACGATGCAACGACCTATGGAGCAGCTCCTGGCAAAAGTGCACAGTTTTCCAGAGCTTTGACAGCCAGTGGAGGTGTCGGTGTCCCGGCAGTTCGACGTTCAAAGCTTACGATGCCTGTGGGTTTTAAGTTTGAAGTTGATAAACGTGCAGCAACGGCAGAGACACGAAGAAGTTTAAAGAGAAAAAGTGTGATTGCGGTACCATTGCAGGAAGTTAAGACGACGGAAGAGGTTGTGTTGGACAAGAAAGAGCCACCGCTTAAGAAGCAGCGAAAGTCAATGGCGACGTGAATGAGTGAGTGAGTGAGATGGTCGTACTGTGTGCTTGTAGGTTTGGAAAACAAAGAGGCTGTTGTGTGGTCTTGTTTTCCGTCTCAAGCGACTTGGTAATGATTTAATGCCATTTGATAGCCGTTTAGCTACATTGTCTGTGGCATTTCAGAGTAGTCGGCAAACGTAATCTGGTCCCAGCGGTTTTCTCATTACTGTTTGCAGGTTGATGGTTGTGGTTGCATCCGACCACCATCCAGCATGACACTGCAATGCTGCTGAAACGGAGCCTCAAGTATGCAGGAAACCGGTAACGGAGACTGCATAAACTCGTCACCATATTGCACCAGATACCAACACCTGCTGTTGTCTTTGAGTTTACAGCAAACTGCGTCTGAAATTGAGACCTTCTTCAGATTGAGGCCACAGATTAATCAGTAGTGCTTACTATCTGTGGTTCATGACTTCACTAACACTTTGGTTCCTTTCGAATTTTCAGACAAGTTTTCCGTCAGCAGTCAGTCATAGCTAGAAATTCCATTCACCTTGAGACGACGCTGTTGTGGTCAGAAAAAGCGACATGATATGGTCACAATCCTGGCGTCATCGATGCTGACGCAAGTAGCACCACGTCGACTGCTTCAAATGTCGTGGCAGCTGCTTCAACAGCGCCACGGCAGCGGTAGCGACTCTCCCTCCACGATCATGGAGACCGTCTGATACTTTTGCCCTAGTTTCAGAATGTAAAGTCTCATTCATTGTGCATTTTGACTGCAGTTAAACGACTTCTTCTCTACTGTATTCTAGGCGTAAAATGTCGATGCCTCAGTAGATTTGGTCCTAGCGGTGCATCTTGATACTGCACCGCAAGTCTGTGAGTGCTACGCTCAAGCAACAAATAAGTGCTTAGAGCGGTTATCAGGGCATGTCTACCATCAACACGCGTGTTTAATTGAGCCCGGAGGTGCAGTTTCGATCATGCGCATGTCGACAGAATCGTCAACTTGATTAAATTCGTAGTCCTCATTTCAGGTATTGGTTTGTTGTCGAACATGGCAGCGGAATTAGGTCGGCCGAGAATCGGCCAAATTCACGAAAGCCAATCGTGAATACTCGGACAGACAGAACTAATGAGGATTTGGGAAGGTGACCCGGAACTGGCAAGTATAAAGCAACATGCCTGCGCCAACGAAGCGGGAAAATGCACGTTAGTAGCACGCTCACTTTAGTCTCATCTGAAGACGACACTATATGGACGCGAAACTGGAATCAATCCATGGCGAATTAGAGCACTACGATGCTCTTTCCTACATAGTAAACAAAGAAATAGAGGTGCAGTATATGTGATGGCCCAATTGTCGCACGCAGCAAAGGTCGTACTTCATTTACTTGTTCAGTTGATTCCCAGCAGCATGAGGGGCGATATCAGCGACTTAGCTTTGAATACCGTCGTGTACTTGGTATTTCATAAAATAGATTTGGTCCTACGGTGATGAGCTCATGAATACGCTGCTTTACGCTGGTACTGTAAATATTTCGTCAAAATAGACACTTCCACGGTTGGCAATTGCTGATGAACATTGATGAAAGTTCGGTAGAGCCTCATCCCAGAGACAATCCATGACGGTACCTACTCTTGGCTCTGCAAATACTTGCCCTACTTGACTTTTATCTTCGTCGGCAAGTTTTGAAGAATTAAATTGCCTGACGATAGTGCCTTTGCCCGCAAACAGTTGCATCATGCCGGGTCATGCACGCAACCACGCCCATCCAAAAGGATAAGAAATCCATGCAAAAAAAGTATTGCTACTTTAGAGCTTCTCGCACTTTTGCGAGCGTGATTTTCTTGGCACGGTCGCCCTTCCCAGCAACGTACCCCGGCCTCATCACACCGTAGAAGGAATGCAACGTGCATGCAGTCTGCAGCGGAAGCGGCGACTGATGTCTCAGATACAAGTGTCAGCAAGTAGAGCTTCTGCAACTGTAGACTAAAGCCATTGACTGGGAAAGGAAGCCGCTCGATGGACCATCGCAGCACCACAGTCGCATGTTGAGCGGCTCCAGCAGAAAAAGCATTGTACTGCTATAGTATCCGACTGGTATTGGTGGCACTACCGTTGGTGCAGCCGGTGTTAAAAAAAGAAGGGGTGACCTTCTGTTTCAGTGCACGGGGGGACTCGTACCGAAAGATCTTTTCTCGAAAAGCAGTATCGTCAGCACAGCGCGACCCACACAAATGTCGCAGCAAAAAGCGAGGCTTCCGAAGTAATTTATTTTTGTTGCAAGAACGGTGCCGAAATTGGTTTTTGAAGGTTATGGTCACAACAGAAAACTTGCATCTATTTCTCCGCCAGCAACTGCCACGTACTCGGTCGCATCAAGCTGAATAGGACGCGTCCGACAAGAGACAGCATATGCGATACTACAGCATTTCAAGTAATTACATTGCTTCTGTCTGTTTGAATGAGATAGGTCATAGCAATCAATCTTACCCAAAAAGCTCAATAGTAGTATCTGTGCACGGCTGACGACCAAAAAACGCTACAGTGATTTGTACTTGCAGACAAAAAGTGATCTCAACGCAAACAGGCGCGCTGTAGAATGTCTGACATGAAAGTAGACTAGCTACATGTATACGTAAAGATAAGCTATTTTCACTACTGCGATCTTGTCCGAGACTTGCCAAAAAAATGCCAATCGCGTTGGCGTTGGCAGTTTTTTCGCGGCGTATTTTGACGCTCTAACTGACAGTGGAGTTGCGATGAAACAGTAACTATTGATTGATCCCTCCAGATCAATTACCGACGGTAATATAAATTTTATCTGAGATACTGCGGTGCACAGTACCGGAACTACACAGACGAGCCGGTGAAAAATCAGCTGCCATTGGTTAATATTTTGCATGCGAGAACTGCTCAGAGCCATAAAATCCCCCTACCCGCAGGTGAAAATGCTCATCCTCCTTTTTCGCACGCGAAGAAGAGCCAAAAAGCGTGTCAAGGCGAAGCGAGCTTAAAAAAAAAACGTGACCCCGGCCTAATCACATCAATCATTGTTCCATTTCTCAACTTTGCTTGACCCACGCACTCCGTAGCATTCACACACAGCAAAACTTCCATAACAACATCATTTACCGTCATGATTATGATGCCCACTCCCAGTGCACATGAACTCAACATAGTAGTTGCTCCACCGACACCACCGACACCGATCACTCGTGGTCTATGGTCGGAACAGGAACACGAACAGTTTCTACATGCTATGAAAATGTTTCCAACGGGTCCATGGCGCTCTATTGCTGCTTTTATTGGTACCCGATCAATTAAGCAAGTGCAAACGCATGCACAAAAGTATCAGCAAAAGATTAACCGCCGACGTCGTGGTTTACGAAAACAAAAGAAGAAATTTGTACGCCCCGATCACCGAGTGGACGCCCACGCGACGGGTTGCATTCAGCGTGTCAAGAATTTTGCCGTGCAGGGATCACCACGCTCTCCATCCTCTTTTCCGGTTGACACTATGTCTCCGCTTAGTTGTGGCTTTGGCCAGCTTGTAACTGACGGTGGCAGCCCCGTTGGAAGCGATACCGGTAGCTGTTGTAGCAGTACGAGTTTGGATATGGAAATCGACATGGACATGGACATGGAAACTCTACTTTGTGACGTGGAACCACTGCCATTCACATCTGAAGTGTCGTACGAGGAGGTTTTGGCCGATGAAAACTATCGACAAGACGTGCAGGAGTCTATTGACCTGCTCCTTGCCTAATTTATTGTGCCAAAGCGGCAACCTATAACCTTAAGAGAAGTCCCTGAACGCTAAGAGATCATATCATTTATACGCACTAAATGCCTTTTTTACAACGTTGAGTTCTATTGCATTGCCTGATCAAAATTGTTCATCTGCCCTTTGTACGCTCAAGTCATAAGACGTTGCATTGATGACGCTAAGACCCAGTAGCGTTCAATTCCAATCAAATTGGAACAAGGTTTTCTTGTGCGTTTAAAATGGCCGTTAGAACGGTTTCGAAAACCAAAGTCGTCATAACTCCGCTACATGCAATCGACTGGAAACGTATGTTCGATAAATCAACGATAGAATATTGCTGACGACCGATGCTACGCGGGGCTAAACGGCTCAGACTTATTAGACTCCGCGTAATAAATTTCTCCAAATATCGCTGACAATGCTGTCGAGCACTTGAAGGTGTTGCTTGAGCTCAAGTCACTCAAGGAGTAGCACTTATCGGGGTCAAGTACCCGCTAGTTACCTCCTAGTATTAGCAAAGCAATTATATCGGCAGATGGAAACATTCGTACTGCATGTAAAACAAGTAAGGTCCATCGTTGCAAAAAGAGCCCCGCATGCACTTGTGCCTTTATTCGCCATAACGCAGTCGCGCAAGTTGACTATCAATCGCAATAACGTTGTACTTATGAACAGTGTGGGGCTCGTTAATGAAGGGACTGTACAACAGGGACTTTTCGTGAAACTTGTTCTCGCCGTAGCGTACGAGATCTGTGCAATTCCGGCTGCAGATTAACGATGGTGTCTTGGACATGTCCGTTGCTAGACGGAGGTAGAAACCATTGCTTAATCCCTATCACGCCATTGTTCCTTGATAGACATTGCTTGGAGATTGACGAAGAAGGACATGTATGACTCTCGCTATTCTTGCTCCGTGACGCACTTTCCTGCTTATGGGTACTCCTGTTCCGTCATATCCAGAACATGGTCGACGCAGCTAACCAGCACATTCTTTTCCAGGTCCGGCCAGCTATGTCAGCGGTATCTGGGAACATGTACTCAGAAACACCGCCGCACTTCCGGAGGTAGCTCCGGTGCCGATCGCGATAATGCTGCTTGTAGGGTACACGAGCATTTGAGCGGATGATACCTCCGTTATCGTGTCCACTGCGTGATGATGTACGCCCAAAGGCTTAGTGGCTCCTACGCAGTGCCAGAGAATATGTAGGAGTCCTTCGTGTTGCCCGGCAAAGGATCGATTGCCTCTTGCATTTCAAGTCCATGTCGCGCCCCGGGAAGTATAGAGTCAACTGATGGGTAGCTACTACCCAATCTGTATCCGTAAGAAGGTGTGTTCGTGTCCCCAGAAATGTGCCAGTGACTGCGACATGAAAGTAGTTACCGTCCTACGAGCCGTCTCAGTGTTGTAGCCTGGTGATTACCGCCGTAAGTGGGGTGAAGCTTTCGTTTGGCGTGATGGAACGGTTGACGTTGTAGTGCCTTGCAAGCGTGCATGTTGTTGATGGAGGGTGTTAGGCCCCATGTGGACTTATGTAGCTGCGTATGCGCTGTGAATACAAGCGCCGTGTTCCGTAGTTCGCTGTATGTAGATTTATTCACCAGCTCCTGTTGATCAGTTTCGGGCACATCTTTCATGTGGTCAATGATCCAGTAGATTTCGATGTTGGCTTGATGGAGGAGGATAAGGGCGAATTTGTTCTGGAGTGTGCTTGCTGTGTAACCCCCTGGCTTACGTGTATTTTTTTCATACTTTGAATTCTGAGTGCATATTGCAACGTCGATGGAGACAGCCCCATCCCACCCGCAACTCGTGGCGTATACAGCAGGCCTGGATTGACTTTGTGTCTGCTGCTGCCTGTAGACGTGAAGTGATGCCACAAAAAATGCTTTTGTATGTTGTGTAATTCAGCCCGAGCCCATTGCGGGAGCCGGAAGGAATGCAGATGTAAATAACACAGCAGGTAGTATGATAGCATTCAGTAGCAATATCTTAAAAACGACGTTGTTGAGAGGTGGCTACGGTGGCTAGATGCTTTTTATACAAAACCAGAGGAAATGTGCATCGTGCATCGCTTCGGGGGGCTCTCCAGGCTTTCTGTACAACCAGCAAAAGAGCATACTTATCTATCTCGATACCGCCTTCATAAACTTCAACTATAAAGGACCTTCAGTACTTCAGACGACTAGGTATTGACGGCTATCAGATGAGACCTGGGTACCTGGTTGACGCAAATGGGGCTTCAGGTACCGAAACGTCATAAATCGTCGACAAAAGCGCTGAGTTTCTGTTCCTAGGTTAGGAATGTAGGGGTTCCGCAGCCCCCTAAGTGCTATTGCTAGTATTTCTGCCACGAAAAAAGTAGTGATGCTAACGGGCAACCCTGCTGGATGGATGCCCGTGAGTACGGGATCCCGTCGGGTACATCTTATTCCCTACAAAATTTGGCGGTGGTGTTATGGTGGAGATTTTTAATTATAAAATTGGATACCGCAACTCCATATTCCAGAGTTCAAAGTGATCTCCACTCATACTTTTATCGTTAACTTTTCCATGTGCGCCTTCCTCCTCCGCCATTTGCTGTCCCCCGACGATTGCTAACCAGCCTTAGAATCTATTAAACATCCTGCAACTACTAACCGTCCCCTTTTTTTATTTATTAGGGGGGTTTTTTTTTTTTTCTTCTCTATCATAAAAAGAACACCCCTTCTTCAAGTTGGGGGGGGATTGGTTTTATTGTTGTTGGGGGTCATTGTTTCGCCGTTGTTGGAGGGTTATCCAGATGTGATCCATGAACTCGGCTGCACATTACGGCCAGACATCGCGCAAAAGGAGGTAATCCTCGCACGAGTACAAGAACATCTACCGAATTTTCGGTCATCATCGACCAGTTGGTGGGAGGAAAATGACTGGATATTGCACCTCTCCGAGCCCCTTCCATGGCGGCCTCAGGGGGATGAGATTTGGCCTCAGGAAATTAACGATTTTTTGGAGACGTTTCAGTGGAGTGATAATCCTAGGATTCTCTCACCGCAGGCGCTCGAGCTGTCCCGATCCAAATATAACAGAATTCGCGATATCTCCCTCGAACAACTCCACATCCAGCGGACAGGCCCCCAAGAATACGTCTTCAGAGGCATTGGCACGGATGTCCATGACCCCCGCCATTCGCATGCGAAACTTCGAGAATGGGCGATCATAATTTTACCTTCGTCGCCGCCACTAGACGTAGGAAATCCGGTAGAGTGCCCAATCCCATTGCGGCTAAGGCAACATCCACCATTCACGCAAGCCATCTCATGGGTGCTGATCGGGCCAGGCAAGGTTCGAGGCGTTTCACTCTCTGATGAATCTGATCGCCCTCAGAGTTGGGAGCTCACTTAATGCCACAATGGCATAACTTGGGTTTTTCGACGGCGCTCCGCCGCTGGTAAAAGGGAAATCACAGGAACTCACCCAACAAGCGGAAAGCAAGCTCAGCCGACATGGGGTTGTTTTTTTTCCAACCCACAGATCCACCACTATCCGTGGTCCGCACCACCTACGGTCCCCAACCATCGACTATTCACTTCTCTGAAAAAACAAGCTTTACAGGCGACAAAGCGCAGTCTCGCAGCACCGCTGAAGCAGGTCATCGATCGGCTAGCCACCAAGAGCCATACTACGAGGTGGCAACGCACAGCTTTAGATGTCACGCCGGCTCAGCTATGGGATCACGGTCATGCGGTAACGGAATACCAGCTATGGACACGATATCGACACGCTACCGGACAGCTAAACTTTTGGTACCAAAACCGACCCCCGGACGGATCATGCACATATTTGGAATGTGTAGGCCAAAAGGAAACCCAGGAGCATCTCTTCTGGGGATGTCCCCGCGCTCAGGCAATCTGGGCCCGGCTTATCAGTCATTGGGAGAGTACACCTCAACATCCTACCCACCTCCTGGATTGGCTCGAGCACTGCGCAAACTGTAGCGTACCACGCATCTCGCCGCAGGTCACAGCAAAGCTGTTAGCCCGGTACCCGGAATACATTGATCTATTCGCTACAGCCTGGAGGACGATTTGGGAAGTCGCAGTGACCGTCATTATCACAATGCTCTGGCAACTTCGCGTGGATAGAGTTTCTAACAATGCGCGTATCCCGATACAAGCCAGTGAAACTTTGATCTGGAATAGGATTCAGCTCCAACGGAGGGCGCTCATCAAACGTCTCCATTGCAGGGCGGCTACAGCCGTCCGAGGAGCCCAACTATCTGCATGTTACGACATATTTATATCAGAACCGAGAGGGCAGTCCGACGTTCATAGACGTGCTGCCAGCCGTAGGCAATGCCTGGACCCTCTAGTGTTGCTAGTGTGGTTAACTACCTCCCAGAGATCTTGCACTAATCAGTAAATAGACAATCTGTTTTCTCTCTCTAGTTGTTGCGATCTAATCGTCTATTGTACATGTACGTCTAATCGATGGAGTATAGTCGTACAGGTTATTGTATACATGACCCTTTAGTAAGGGAACCAAAACTTAATAAAGGCGTCATGCCTAGGATTTCCTGCAAGATTTATGTGCAAATGATTGCATATGTGTTTTGCAGTGCTGCAAACGAGGGTGTTGCACGTAGAAATTGTGCTCAGCGACTATTTATGATGCTTGGCAGCCCAAATAAATGTCTTTGTTGCTCACTTTCATTCCTTTATGCATTGCATAGCTATCACAGTAAATGTAGGCAAGATACGGCATGCACTGCGGGCTTCTTAATGACCAGGTCAGGTGAGCACGAGTTTGTCAGATGCAAAGCAAATATATTTCGAAATAGACACTTTTATTCGGGGGGGGGAGGGGGGGCTTGCGCGCAAGAGTGAACTCTTAAGCAACGCCGCAGTTTGCACATGATAACTGAGATCAGTGCATGTGACCGGCTAAAGTCACCAGATCAGCCCACATTCAATTTCAAATATACAGCAGCTTTTGCTGTTTCCTAGCCATTTTTGTAGTTGCCAGCAACTTTATCTCTCATCAGTAGCCTCACTACATTTAATCAACGAGTCCAGACTGCGAAAATGCGAGCTTCCCAAATCCCATCGTAGATAATGGATCACTTTTTGGCGGTGAAAATGATCCCCATCAGGGCAATGGAGACGAGCAGCGTAAAGAGGACGATGCAAATTAGCTTCATCCGTGAGCAAGCACACCAATTCCTACGCTGTTCCGCATGCCGCACCTCCTCCAATCCCTTCTCTACATTATCCTTGGCCGTCTCTGTGTTGTCCACGATCTCTACAACCGTTTCTCCCTGATCTTGCACAAGGCCGTCAATCTCTTGAAAGGCTGCATTTACCTCATGCAGCTGGTGATTGATCTGGATAATGTCATCCTCTCTCCGCTGTAGATCTACATACACAATCAACCAGTACAGTATTGTTACTTCATCTCCTTATTTCACAGTTGTAACAGCCATATCGCAATAGTACCGTCTTCATCATAAATGACCACATTAGCTTGTGCATAGATCTGGTCTTCACTGTAGTTAGTGAACTCTGCACCACCCCCTCCGCTTCCACCCTTGAAGCTCTGTGACGAGCGGCGAATAAACTCCACCGACTGTCGTTCCGAATTCAGTAGCCGTTCACAAGTCTCTTCAAACACACGCGCCTGGTTTTTAAAGTCAGCCGAGAGCTTGTTCACTTGCGTACGTCTTGTGCGGCCACTAGGGCCCTTGGCGCCACGAGTGAGCTCCTGCAGCCGACGACTGATCTTGGCTGCGATCTTGTTGCCCTTCTCCGTAAGCTCCTTAATTTGCGTGTGATTGGCGCGTGAGTCCTGCGGTGTCCCAAACAGTGACATCTTCTGTGCAATGCTGCGCGTGAGCTGATTGAAACTCGAGATGCCCTTGCTCGTCTCCGATACGAGCTTGCTGAAACCTTCGTCTGAGACGCCACCGCTGCTGTTGCGTGGCGACTGAGTGCTGTGATACCGATGGCCCATACTCAAAGATGTGGACTTGAACGTCAGAGAGAGCAAAAGCAAGAGTGGCGACGGACTTGTATGGTAAAGCCGTAATCGAGCCAGTTTGAGGATGCAAAGCATTAAGTCGGTGCAGCATTACCAGCTGTAAGGGAGCTGAAAACGGACATATATCGATATATTATATAGTTATCCATAATATAATTAAAAACCTAAAATTTAATCTAAAAGGTTTAAGATGATACATACTATCGCCGTGAAACTGTAGCAATTGATATTTTTAACGATGTGGTATCGTTTGAGCATAACTTTGCAGTGTAACGTTGTTAATAAGCAAGCCACACATGACTTGCTTATTGTATCAACAACGTAACACTGCAAAGTTTGTACATTAAAAAAACTTCCCTAAAGTGACCCTTGAGATCGGGCCATCTATCGGTTAGGACATATTATCAGTTTAGGAAGGTATTACACGAAGCCGGTCTTAGAAGTATTTAGCACGTAACAGAAGGTATCAGTTAAGGCAGTATCACTATAGGCACGTTTTTCTGTCGTACATTTCTTACATACAGGCGACAGACTATGTCTTCGTCCGTAAAAAAATCCTTTATATTTCATAGAATCCCGTGTATGAAGGGTCTGTCCCCGTTGCTGTGCTCTCGTATCGTCGAATGGCCTCTCGTGAGGACGACCAAAAACTTGTACATGAGAAATCAATCTCGATACATAAAGAAATATGTACCATTATACGCTGCCAATACATCCCGTGTCCATTTAACGCGTCAAGCACCAAGCTTAAGCAGTGAAGTTTTTATGACCGAACCAGTCATCACTAATTCGTCCTGGTTGCATCAATACACAATAAAGTGGTTTATGTGATGTGACTACGCCATGGTTAAGTTGCTGTAACTCCAAGCAGAAGACCGCAAAAAGATTGCCGTTCTAGTAAATCGATATATCGGTTCAGCCTGCATGTATTTTTCTACCAATTGTTGTCGTAATTTGACCAATCAGAAATCATGGGTTAAAACACGAGGTTTCTCCGATCAAGTACGGTTGCTTCTACCCACCCATGGTACAAAGTAAAACTTCCAGAATACCCTTATTCTGCAACTGTCTCCACGTGTCAAGAATCTCTTTGTTGCTGGTTGAGAGAGATTGTGCGACCCCCCCCCCTTTTGAACGTCTGAAGTCATTTTCCTTTCGTAGCATAAAGCCGCAGAAGCAAAACGAGAAAAGAAGGAGGAAAAATAGTTGAATAAATCATGGCTTTAAAGCGAATCAACAAGGAATTGCAGGATCTCGGTCGTGATCCACCTGCTAATTGCAGTGCTGGTCCCGTAGGCGACGATCTCTTTCACTGGCAAGCAACAATAATGGGTCCAGAAGACAGCCCATATTCTGGTGGTGTCTACTTTTTAAACATTTACTTTCCAGCTGATTATCCCTTCAAGCCGCCCAAGGTGAACTTTACGACGCGCATCTATCACTGCAACATCAACGCTAATGGCGGTATCTGTTTGGATATCTTGAAAGACCAATGGAGCCCAGCGTTGACCATTTCGAAGGTGCTCCTGTCAATCTGTTCACTGCTCACGGACGCCAACCCGGACGACCCTTTGGTGCCCGAGATTGCGCAAATATATAGAACAGACCGCGCACGTCATGACGCCACTGCCCGTGAATGGACCGCCAAGTACGCCACTTAGAGCCCACTAGGAGTAGGAGATGTTTCGTCCTGTCGACGCGTCCTGTAAACCGACTAGTCAACGAATGGCTATAGCCAGTTGAACAGATTTTTAGCTGTTGTAGCTGAAAACGTTGATGTACGAAGGAAGAGTGAGATGAAAGGAAGGAAGGAAGATACGTCGGGAAGCAGCAGGAAAAAGCGTAAGCTAGCGAAATCTCAATTTGGTTTGTTTTTCATACGATATCAAAGATTGTTCTTGTTCTTTTGCATGGAATAACGACAAAAGGACATTGATCTTTAACGTTCATTCTTTCTTGTAGAGTGCGACGCGATGTCTATGTATCCTTTGACTTTTTCTTGATATCCTACTTGCTTGTTACACTACGATCTTTTCTTCTCAAAAACAAATTGGCTCTTCTTCTTCACGCGTGACATTCCTCAATAGTAACAGTGTTTACGTACAACGAGCGACTCGTCGTCGTCAGCCTATCAAACGAACCGGATTGGTATTATGTGCACCACACCAGTCGTGTCATACCGTACCAAAAACAATAAATAATGGACAACTTATGTAGCTGGTGTCAAGCGACACGTTGGCAGTATAAATGCTTCACCTGTGACCCTCGTAGAGCGAAGACATTGTGCTTTAATTGTTCTGTACTATGGCACTCGCGTGGATTTGCTGTTACTCATCAATTGATGAATCGATACGGAGCTATACGGTCATTTAGCGCCTGGATGCGACCACAGCAGAAGATCATCCACAACGTCACTAGGAGCTTGGAGACAGAGGTACAAAAAGATCCGGCAATTGGATTGAATGACGTTGTTATTGGTGTTCAAGATCAGGAGATTGGAATAAACGGTATGGAAGTTACAACACCAACAGGTCCAGAGAAGCAGAAAAAGTTGAATGAGGAGGCAGCTAAAGACAGTAAGAGTAGTCCAGAAGAGAAGAAGAGAGAGGATGTAGAAGAAGAGGTTTATTTGATGGAGGAAGAGGCTGAATTTAAAGTGGTCGGTGAGTCGATGGACATTGGGGAAGATGAAGACACTATGTGTGTTGAGGAAATAAAGCTCAAGGAAAAGACAACAACTGTATCGGAGAAAGAAGCACTTGCACGTGATAATTTTGTGTCAAGAGCGAGTACATCAGTGAAGAGGAATGGGCACTTGGAATTGAAGGACCAAGAAGAACACAAAAACGATGCCTCTGTTCCAATAGCTTCAACTGCCCAAGGTGTCTCTTCAGTACCGTTCTCAGCTCCTCCTGCTGATGCTAATTCGCCTGTACAAAATCGAGATGCTAGCGCTGGTCCGGTTGAAAAATCTACTGATTTCGCCGCCTCCTCCACTGCTCCAGTGTCTTCGACTATAACGCCTGATACAGCTATTGCTTTGAAGCCTCATGAGCTTGCTGACACAAATTTATCGAATGCGACGTCTCAATCTTTGTCAGCGGACCTTGAGAAACTGCTGCGGTGTTTCCCTACAACAGATCCAATCCTCATGGAGATGCTGGCACAACGGATAGAAGCAGCTCTTGTCATCGAGGATGCACTCATTTGCGCACGGATCGGGAAGTGTCAAGAATCTTCGTGCCGTTCTGTGCTACTGCATTACGAGCATTATAAACGCGACAAAATCTGTAGCGATCCGAAGTGTACAGAGATTTCAAAAGTGTATCAGCACAGGCGTGATTGCTCAAAGAAGGACAATGCGTCTACGAGAGATAACCAAAAGTTTGTGTGTCCGTTTTGCATTCGTATTCGACAAAGACGGAATCTCGGTGTCGTTGTAGCACTAGATCATCTTATAAGTGACCAGCGTCGTGCGCTTCAAGGAGCGTATAGCGAGGCAAATCGAAATGCCTGTTTGCAGACCATCAATACGTGGAACAAACGCAAGCAGGTCCTCCGTGACGAAATAGACGGACTCAATCGATTAGCGAGCGAGAGCAACGCTCTCATTTATAATTTCCCGAGGTACCAGTGGCACTTTGGTGATGTGGCGCTTATCAAACGAGAACCAATACTTTTGGGAAGCGAAAGCAATACGGTGGGGTTATCTGCACCTGGACCATCGATGAATTGTACAAACAGGTCCACAGCAACAGAGCAGCCATCTTCGACTCGTTCTGGAGACGAGTACAATTCTGTTTCAGGTACCTCTTCACTTGATCCATTTGTAAACCAGACGTTTGTCATGCATGATCTAACACGATTTGGTTTGTGCAGGCACTTTACAATCCGAGGACATCCACGAAGTTGACATGACAGGAGATGCACGCTTTGACGCGAACTTCATTAACGAGCTACTTCGGGCTAAAAGTGATGCCGGCGATGGAGGAGAGATGTCACAGCGGGAGTTTGACGGAGTTATGGAATTGGGCTGTGCCATTGTAGATGCGTCCTTTTGCGCCCCGTCCAAAGCACAGCGATGTCTTCTCAACTGCAAGTCTATCCTTATACACTTGCAACATCACCTGGATTTACAGGTGTGCAATCAGGCAATGTGCGCGGCAGTTGAGCACCACTTTTCGCACTTGTCACAATGTAAAGCCCGCGACAACAATGAGTCTTGTGAGTATTGTTTACGCGTAGAGGAATGCCAGCTGATGCGGTCGGTCGATTTCATGGAGGCGGAGCAACTCGAGGCTGAAGCAAAGGTGCAGCAGATTATTAATGATATTACGGCTTCATTCACAAACCATCGGCCTGATGACCGGGAACGGGAGGTGATTCAACTGGAGGATGAGTTAGAACAAGCTGAGGCTAACAAGCAACAGTTGCTTACAAAGCTAAGCACTGCGCGCATGAATCTTCGAAAGGTGCGTAGAAGCATGGAGCATCATGGCATGTCTACTTCCACGAGTCGTCAACTCCCAGTGCACTTTATTAAAGTCAGGCGTACCGAAGGATCAGGCAGTAGTTCGAAAAAACGGCGACTCAGTGGCTCACTCGACTAATCATGACATAGAGAAAGACCTGAGTCAATGATCGAGCAGCAATATGAAAGTGTTGCAAGTATCAAAAGCTACGAGAAACTCAAGTCAGATTAACGCTGTTCCCGTCCAAAGAATCACATGTATCGACATGACCTGAACATATCGTATTCTCCTGCATCAAAGCTGGAGATTAAAAGCTGTTGCAGCACCAATTGGATCGGTTTGCATTGCCTCCATTGGCAGCACTCGTGGGACGAAACGTTTCATTGCGTTTCTTCGCTTCTGACTTTCGCTCGAAAATATCCTGATGTTCCAATATACCCGTTACCAATGCCTTGGCAGCATCATCAATGTGGATATTTCCTTTCGCCGAGGTATCAAACCAGCCCGTAAAGTTGTTCGTCTTACAGAATTCGTCCAAGAATTCCCGGTCAACGTCGTCCTTCAGGTCACACTGTCATAATCACCAGGAAAAAACCCACCTCAGTCTTTGTCAAGAAGAAAAAACCTTCCACTTACATCAAAAACCATCGTAAAAAACCCACCTTATTACCACACAAAATGACTGGCAGGGATTTACCATTAGGTAGCTCCACTTTGGCATCAATCTCCTTCTTCCACTGCATCCACCAATCCACCACCAAGTGTTTCAATCATCAATACAGAACAACTACAGCAACAAATCTTTTCTACCTTGAGAATGCTGTCAAACGTCTCTGGACGAGACATATCGTACACCAATAATGCTCCCAATGCATCTTTATAGTAAACTCGATTAAGAGCTCGAAAATGTTCTTGGCCGGCAATGTCCCACAGTTGCAGACGGACAGTTGTACCCGATACAGTCACTGCTTTAAGTGCAAAATCCACACCAATTGTCGTCCGATGGTGTTCGGAAAAAGCGTCATGCACATATCTACCAAGAACAAATCTCATTCTGAGTCTTCTCTTTTTCTTTCTTTCTGATAAAGGGGTACAAACATACATTGATTGTAAACTATACCATTACATACCGTTTAATAATACTCGTTTTTCCCGTAGCTGCATCCCCAAGGACCAATACTTTAATGACCGCGTCTTGTGCAGCATTGACTCGATGTTCACTCATGGTTTTAAATTTTGGTTTTAAATAAATAAAAAGATCTTGAAAAACCTGATTCTAAGAAAAAGAAGAAGCTTTAGCTCGTGGACTCAGATGCATGTGGTACACATGAATAGACAACTAAGTACGAGTTTTCGCACGTCAGCATGTTTAATATCCAAGCAGCAGCTTCTTGTCATGAGTGACGACGATGTTATTAATACTCATACCCGTTTACGACGTCGTAGTCGTAGTAGTAATGCAATTCTTAACTCCTTGACGTCGGTATCAAGTATGACAGGTTCTGATACGAAGCAAGAAACTACGATATTATCTCCTAATACTATAGGACTTGGATGCAATGACTCAGTGGACCACGTAAAAAGCACTGGACGTCGTCTAAGTCATTCTGGATTCAATCCATTTCAACAAAGTAATGGCTCCAGTTCATCGTTTCGATTAAATAGTGCAGGATCAAGTTTTCGAGCAGGAGCAGGTGTCCCCGTCTCGTCATCAGCATTACGTAATCATGCAAGTTTTTTCATGATGGACATTGATGCTGCACGACAATCAATTGATGCTCGTCATGGAGCCATGAAGGATGAAGAGGAAAATGCAGTACCAGATGGTGGAAAATTGACAAGGAATATGCTTGAAGATTCTAATACGGAAAGAAGAAAAAGTGGAGCCGAGAGATGTAGAAGAGCCTGTACGTTGTTGATACTAGAGAGGATTAGATTTTTCAAGCCAAGGAGACTGACGCTGGTGATGTACTTTATTGTGGTGTTTCTTCAATTGATATGTCCATATAGCATCATTGGATTCAAGTCCACCATTGCCTCCGGATAGTACAATATCAGCAGAGGAAGTGATTCGAGAAAGCATGGCCAGTGCATTAAGCTCGTCGTTGTATACGGACAAGGACGATTTTTTAATACCACATCAACGACGATCTACTACAGTGAGTGGCACTTTGACAGCCAATGAACGAGACTCGTTGGCCTTGTCGAGACATTCACGAGATAGTTTGGCATTTTCATTTTCAAGTCGTAGTACATTTCGAAGAAGTACAATATCGGAGCAAATGCTGTATGAGACCGACTTGTTTGAACCAGAACGTGAATTAAGTGCTCAGGAACTATCTGAAGTGCTAAGCGGCTCGGATGACGATATTAATAGTTATGAAGTTACCAGCATAAAGGAGGAAGAAGAGGACGTTAAACTTGAAAATGCCAGATCGCGGTGGGCACAGCACGTCAAGCTCAAGGCACGGAGTTTTCTCTACTCTACAGTAGCGGGTAACAAACATGGAGCACCTGCTGCTAGTGAAAGTAGTAATGGGGGTGCCCTATCTTCGATAACGCCGACGTCAGCAGAGATATGGGCAAACAAACAGAAGCAGATTCTTGCGCAAATGAGTAGTGGCAGTGGTGGCTTTAGTGCCATACCGGGCATCTCGTCAGCTACATCAACATTCACACAGCATCATTCGCTGCTTTCCCCACGACCATCATTTGGACCAGCGACTAATAGTGGCGCCAAGTTCCAGAAGTGGAATCGATGGATGCATGATCGATATCAGCATAATTTCGGCAAAGCAGTGCAGCGTACTTTGAAGGACGAGGTTTTACAGCGGCAGCAACAGCAACAGCAGTTTCCGTTTCCAGCGCATCAGCCAATCCCTGACCCAACAACTCTTATCTCGATTGAGGAAGTTATTAGCAACCCGCGTATGATGCGCTACTATGCTGCATGGCTTCCTGACCCTGCAGACCAAAGTAAATTGTTTTTTCTCTGTTCCTTTGAGGAGTATCGTCAATGTTGGTGCACGTTGCGTGCTAACTACCAGAAAAAACCTCTTGCGAAGGATGATGTGCTCATGTTACGCACATACGGCGTCAAGATTGCAATGAAATACTTGGCGAAAAACGCTCAATTTCCAATTAATGGTCCTGCTGATGCTGACGAAGGAGGAAATGAAAATGACGATCCTCCACTTGTGGATTCTAACAAGCTACGCTCTATCAAACGTGACCTAGCTGCTGGGGGTGAAGATGCGCTACGCACTTTTGACGATGTCGCCGTGAAGGTGAAACGCGTGCTCATGTTCAAGTTTCCTGAGTTTCGCAAAACGGAGCTTTACACTGAGATGCGGAAGACCGTACAGCGTGAAGTCATCTGCCTAGAGGATATACTGATGAACCACCGGTTTGCCAACTTCTTTTGGATTTTCCTTTTCCCACACAACTATCATCGCGAGATCGCACTGTGGTTGGACGTTGAATACGAGTTCAAGCCTGCGTTTCGCATTTATATGTTGCTCCTCAAGTCTAGCGGCAGCTCCCGAAATGCCACGGGATCTAGCAGCAACCAGCGTCGTGAGCGCATTGAGCAGTCTGCTTACCGATGCAGAAGACTGCTGAAATATATTTCACAAAAATACTACGCTGGAGACGCTGAAATGCAGACACTCACGCGCACGTTAGTGACGTCCTGTGCCCGACTTCAGGCTGAGCAAGATGCAATTTTGACGAAGTTCAGTCTTCTTCATCTAGAGTTATATCATCGTTTTCTGACGAGCCGCGCTTACGCTGAATTTTCGCTGTATCCAAAGCTTTTGCCTGAGGATGAGAAGGATTCCATTGACGACTCCATGCGACTCTCCGCCCTGCTTATGAGCTATGGCTTGCGTGCACACCATTGGGCTGGTGGTGGCACGGGCTCTTCAACGTCGAATGGGTCAACCCTGTCGTCATCTTCCACTGCTTGTGATGCTGCAAGTTCAACGCCAAAGAAAAAGACTCTTGACTCACTACGTAGTGCGCGAAGCTTTGACGCTATCTCGGGCGTGCTTACCTTTGAAGCTGTATCCGTGCCAATGACAGCCGAAAAAGCGGAAAGTGATACTGACGAAACCGGTGTGTATGAAGACCCGATTGAACTGCAGGTAGTACAGCATCAGTTACCTCATGACCCAACAACACACGTCGTGGACAAATCTGTCGAGAATTTTCTTGTTCCTTGGAGTGCGGACCCTAGGCATGTGGTTCTTACAGCTTCATCCTGTCCAGCACCTCTTGCGTTTAACTTTCGCATGGGTGACAGCAGTGCTGGCGCCTCGGCTGCTGAGTTATTTGCGGCTTGCATTGTGTTATACAAGCCAGCACCCCCATTGTCGTGGTGCATGTTAAAGACATCTCGGATAGAATCTTCACGTGGTTGTCGATGGGTGCCTTATGGCGTTTGTGTGCTGTCTAAATTCCCAATGGTGGATCTTCTCCGAGAGCGCCTTGCGGAAGCGTATGAATTCATCCTTGAGCTTGAGACTATCGCTGCTGCAGCACCAACAAGTACTACTACCGCGGATGGTAACGGGACTATTCAAAATGGTGGTCAAGGTTTTCAGCTAGACAAGAAGGTCCTTGCTAAGCTAACCCGTGCTGTCTCAAAGGAACAAATCTCGCAATATCACCAACCATCACCGTTGCCGAAGTCACCACTTCTTGAAGCCTCAGGCTTGACCCCGAAAGCTTCAGCCGCCTCACTGCTTGCAGCTCTTCCGCGTCTGGACCACTCCGTCCGTCTCCTGTTTGACACATTAGACGTTTCCACTGTGCTTCTTATGTTCACCGCAGCTTTGCTGGAGAACCGCATTTTGTTGGTTTCGTCATACTTTTCTGTGCTCATGAAGGTTGCCGAGTCTCTGCGAGCACTCATGCACCCGTTGTTCTGGCCTCACGTGTACCTTCCTGTTCTTCCACGTCGAATGCTTCAGTATCTTGAATGTCCGACGCCTTTCATTTTTGGCGCCGAGAAGCAAGCGCTTGACGACGCGCAACGTCAAGTTATTGAAGAAGGTGGTGATGACCTATTTGACGGGGCTGGCGAAGAGTTGCTAGTTGTGGACTTGGACAAGGGAGCTGTTTTACGCGGAGAAGTACCTTGCACTCTTCCTGATAATGTGCGGTTTGATCTGCGGGACGCACTTTATGAGTGTCTCAAGCCTAATGTGAGTCGTAGTGACCACGTGTTCGCTCATCACTTCCCGAGTAAGCCACTCGTGTTTCCTGAGGTCGCTGTCCGCGGGCTTTTCTTACGAGCTGTTAACAAGCTCATCGGTGACTTTGGTTACCACCGTTACGTTTGGACGGACGAGTTTGCGCGCAAGCGCACCGTCTTTTTTGACGAGGCCAGCTACCTTGCAGCTTCCACACCTGACATGCGCGAGTTTCGAACACTGTTCATCGCCACGCAGGCTTTTTCAGAATTTATGGTCACACATCACGGTTTTGAGGAACAACCAGGCCAGTCAAATGGCATTACGAGACCGTCAACCACAAGACCGTCTACCACAAGAGCGTCTACCACAAGAGCGTCTACCACGAGACCATCTACCACGAGACCATCTACCACGAGACCGTCTAGCACGAGATTGTCTTCTACGAGATCGTCGACATCCTCGACGTCCTCATTGCTGCCACAAGAATAAGCTCGGCATGTTCGAATTCTATGTGAAAATGAACGTAGTCAGGATGAAGGGTGAGTAGAACTTATATGTACGTGACGTTCGCGTTCCTGAGTGAAAACAACTCGATATTTACTGGTGTTGTGAATGAAATTGCTGTTTGTCTTCTAAGCTTCTGTCTAGACTTAGGAGTTTTACCTATGACGAACCATGGAAGCTACGAGCATTGTGGCTGTCAGCAATCCGAAGAGCGTCACGGGCGCTGTGAAGGATGGCATCCATGAGTTCTTCGAGCTCGGCATATTCACTCGAGTTGCGCTGAGAGCAATAGTTTCTAGCTGCTGATGATGACGGTGACGTGCCATTTCCTTGTCAATGATGGTGTAGAGAATGGCAGCCACGCGACGGCCGCTGTGTTTAAGCATGGGTGCCTTTTTCCATTCGCAAGCCGCATGTCCAGCAACGAGATCTTCTTGAAAGGTTTGGCCCTGAAGCAATACCGGGTGCTTGCTACCCGCCATTTCGGGCGTAGGCAACAACAATTCTTCTCCACGCTCGATGTACGGTGCAAGCACATTTTCTGGTGGGAACGTGTTGTTCGCAATCAGATAGTCAATGGCGCTCTCTCCGAGATAAGTGGAAAGCACCTCTAGTGTTTTCTCTAGCGTGTAGCCATCGGTCTGCCCATTTTGCGTGGTCACGTTGCTCACGTACACTGTAGCTCCCGCGCTGCGTGCAATGGCGTCGCGTATACCTGGTACCAACAGCGTGGCAATGATTGATGTGTAAAAACCACCAGGACTCAAGATGATAATATCTGCGTCCTCGATAGCACGCACCGCTGGCTCGAAAGCTTCTACGTTTGGGTTCTCGAGGTAGACACGTTTGATCGGCGCTTTTTTGATCTTCTTTTTGGAGTGACCAGGCTTTTGAGTCATAGACGGTGGGGTTCCACTTGAACTGCTGGTTGAGGAAGTGGAATCTGACTGAGAGTCGACCTCTTCATTAGGCACAAATGGGCTGCGTACATTGACTTCTGATATGACTGTCGAACCGTCAGTAAGCTCGGCGCACAGCTCAGTGTTTTCGAGTGTAGCTGGTAGCACGGAGCCGTGGATGTTGAGAATTTCAGCGATTGACGAGACAGCGCGGTCGAAACCTCCTTGTAAATCGGTCAGCGCTGCTAGCAGCAGGTTACCCAAGCTGCAACCCTCCATGAAGTTATCACGAAAGCGGTAATTCATCAGCTTGCTCAAGAGTTCATCTATGCGTACACACAAGAATGGATCAACCGTGAGGTAAAGATGGACTCGATGCATGACGACCGAAACTACTAACCGGAGTCGGAAAGCGCCACCAGACAGTTTCGAATATCTCCAGGTGGCAAGATGCCAAGATACTTGCGAAGGGCACCAGAATGGCGACCTGAGTCGAAAACTAAAGCAGCATAAGTTAGTTGTTGGTAGCAACAGATCTCGATTTTGTGCTGCTGAGTTCGTTCACAAACCTGTGACGACGGCAGTGAGATCAGCCGGATAGTGGCGCAGTTCCTTGAGTAACACTGCTAAGCCCGTGCCACCACCAATTGCCACGATCTTGGGCTGCAGCATTTGCTGGTCTGCCAGTTTTACAATCGGTACTAGCTGTTCAATCGACTCAATCTACATACAAGTAGCAGCATCTTACAAGTTAGTTCAGTTTTCCATTGTAAGAGTCAACCTCGCGTCTACATGTAAATGCTTCCTCACTTGAAAATCTGGTTGCTCTATCTCCTCCGTTGGCATCACGCTCGTGTACTTGCCGAACAGCTACAGACAGACAGTCAGTCAATCACGATGTTAATCAACGCGCTAGATACAATCGACAATTATCGTTTGCACACACACACCATGCGAACAGTGAGCATTCCGACAGTATTAGCAGCCTTGATCTCGTAGAAAGCCTTGCGTCCCACAAACATGACAGCGGATGCCGGTACATTCAGTTGTCTTGCAAGCTGCTTCATGGCACTCGTGACCTGAGCTAAGCTTGGATTCGGGCTTACATGAACCACCTGATGAAACAGATCGTCGACTCCCAAAGCTTTAAGACGTTCACGCTGCACCTCTGGCTTCCCAATAAGCAGCAGCGCCAAGTGGCGGACTCCTCCGTCCTGTAGCTCCAGCAATATCTTACGTACATGTGGAAAGGGCGTAATACTTCGAGCCTCCGGTACATTGCTCTCATAGTAAGCAGCAATAACTCGCTGCGCTTGAATTGGTGAGAGTTTGGTGTAGGGGTCAACCATGAGGCTGTCGACGAAGCGAGGAAAGCGCTTACGGAGTCCATAAGTGTTGCGAAAGATCTGTAAAGCTTCAAACGCTGCTGCTTTTGTCGGGAACGCACGTTCCGCCAGTAATTGGGCTACGCCGCGTTCGATTGCCAAGTGTGACAAGAGCTTTGAATGATTGTACAACACGTCGTCCAGGATCATGGCCACCGCACGAACACGACGACGGCACGGACAGGAGAAGCTCGGAGGGGTTGGAGCTGGCACGGGCATGCCGCTAGGAAGGTGATGTAACGGGTGCTTGCAAGGAAAAGTTGAGGATCAATTGATTGAATAACGATCAAGCAGTAAAAGGTCTCACCCTTGTAGACGAATGCAACTCTAGTAGCGATGCATGCAACAATTGATAGGTTATCTATGTAGTGTATGATCAGCAGGTGTATCTATCGGCGCTGAAGCATCCTCAATGCCATCTCTTCCTGACTCGCGACAGCGTGACGGTCGATCTTTTTCTTCCTGTCGCTCACATCCTCGTCGTCATCGCTGCTGGTGTTTTCGTCACTACCCCTTTCGCTGCCGCTCATGTCTTCATCGTCAGAGCCGACAACAAGACGTGGGCCGCCATCCTCGCTCTCATCGTCACGTTCGCACTTGGTTTTCATACGCTTCTTGTGATGCTTGGCACGCACACGCTCCTTCTCCAAACGACGATCCTCAGCATCCTTGGCCGCGAGACGAGCAGCTACTTGCTCCGTGTAGTTTTTAGCATGCTGCTCCACGTCATCAAATTCGTTGTTGCCAGTGTTGCGTGCCGCAAGGCGGTCCATCATTTTGGTGCTGTTGCCCTCGTCGTCGAACACGATCTTGGACGTATTGATGACCTCGCGATCCACACGCAACTTCTTCTGCTTCTTCTTACTGCTGGGGCCAAGTGCTTCCTGATCCAGTGGCTCGTCATCTTCTGCCCAGTTGTGCACCCGCTTGACAATCATCAACGAGTCCTCTTCTTCCTCTTCGGACCCCTCCTTCTCTTGCTTCATCTCTAACTTCTTCTTCGCCTCTTCCTGCTCCATAGTCCCCAAAGCAGCCAGCTGCCGCGCCAAACGCTTGCGTTCCTTCTCCGCCTTAATCTTCTCCTTGAGCTGCTGGAGCTTACGGTTGACATTCTTTTTCCCACGTAGCTCGTCACGCAACGCCTCGTTACCACCGTTTTCGTGCTCAGCCTTCATTTTGGACAAGAACGGCATGCGCGGTGCGCCAGGAAGTCCAAAAGACTCCGCAAACGCATCCAATGGCAAAGCCGTGGTATCAAACACCTCACGATCCGGCTGCAAGTACACAGAGCGCACATAAGACATGAAAGCCTTCTGTGCTAGCGCTTTAATCTCCTTGTCACCCGCAACAACTGAGGCCACCTTCTGGTGACAGCTCGTGGTCTTGGCTGGGTTGAGCTTTGTCTCACGGATGGGTACCTTAGCATCCGCAAGTCGCTTTGTCATGCCGTCCACCTCGGACGGCACCAGGCACATCAGCGCCTTACCCTGCTTGTTGTAACGCGCCGTGCGCCCAACTCGGTGAATGTAATTAGCAGCATCTTCTGGGCAGTCCAGCTGCAGTACCCAATCTACCTGAGGAAAATCCAGTCCTCGTGCTGCAATGTCCGTGGCAAAAAGAACTGCGGCCGGTTTGTTCAAAAACTCGTAGTACACCTCCACACGCTTGCCCTGCTTGTACTTACCGTGCAGCGCACAGAGCGGTATACCAGGCTGCAGCTTGCAGAAGACGCTGTGTATGAATCGCACTTGGCGGCAAGTAGACAAAAACACAATCACCTTTTGCTTCAGGTGTGACTTAATAAATGACAGCAATACGTCCAATTTACGCTCTAGTGGCGTCACCACGTAGCTCTGCGTAAGACCTTTGGGCGTTGCATTGGCCGAGTGCTCGTGCACAGCAACATACTCGGGTTCTCGCAAACTCAGTGCAGCCAAATCCTTCACTGACTTGGTCTGTGTAGCCGAGAAGAGCATAGTCTGTCTCGTACCAGCAGGTGGCAGGTGCTCCAAAATGGCTTTCAATTGTTTCTGGAAACCCAAATCCAGAATCCGGTCAGCTTCGTCTAGTACAAGCACCTGCAAATTGGTCGCATCGAATGCTGGTGTCTGCTCCATGTGCTGCAGCAATCTACCAGGTGTACACACCAACAAATTCATCCGGATGAGACGTAGCTGCTCCTCTCGGAAGTTCTTGCCACCAATGACCAGACCGGCCGAGAACGCGTGGGCCTTGCCGACGTTACGCAGCACCTCAAAGATCTGCAAGGCCAGTTCTCTCGTAGGTGAAATGACCAAAGCTCCAAGTCCATCCTCTACACTCCAGCGAAGACGGAACAGCTTCTCTAGTACCGGTAATAGGAAGGCCAACGTCTTGCCGGAGCCGGTCTTGGCCGCCGCAAGTACGTCGCGCCCCGCCAGCGCGTGCAGCAATGCACCCACTTGGATCCTGGTAGGTGCTGTGAAGCCACAGGCCCTTAATCCACGTCGTGTAGCTTCAGACAAGGGAAAAAAATCAAAATTCGCGGCTTCACCAAGCTGCGAGCCGCGTGCTGGAGTCTGCTCAGCGATACGGGTCTCTAGTCGCTCAATCTCGAGACGTTCACGCTCAATCTGCTTTACTTTGACAGCTTCAGCAGCTGCAATAGTTTCTTTGTCTTGTTCTAGAGGATATGGGCGGCTGTGGGCCTGACGGAACGCACGCGATGCCATGGCAAGTAGCAGAGTGTCCGACCGATTTTTTTCTTGAAGTAATGGAGCTCTTCGAATGACTGGCACGTGATTGTTAGGCTTTCTATTGAATATTTCTATTGAATATTTCTAAAGAGTCACGAAGCGTTAGAAATAAAAACGATGAAACATGTGACGAGGCGACAGCTTCAACATCAGCTATTCTTTTTTATTGGGCTTGCTCGTATCGAGTAGATAACAAGGTAAACATGAAGTGAGTTATCTATACGAGAGCTCAAGACGGCTAAGCGGCTAGTGACAGACCTTGTGCAGGCCTAGGTCCAGTACAAAGAGCTTTGCGGGTGCTCTGAATACGATACAACAAAAGCAAATGCCACCTAAGATGTTCGATCAACCCGTGCTGCAATTCAACGACACACAAGAAGTTAGAAGATCTAAACAGCTTGAATATAGACGCTTTGGTTGCAGTCACCTGCAACGCTGAATTATCCTCGACGTGCCGAAACTTGAGTGCTATTGTTGCACACAATGGCAACCACATTGCTCCGATGGATGTCTTATCAAAGATGGGTCGAGTGTTTTCAGTGTACAAAACCCACTTGATACCCCAAGTTGTCACGCGCGAAAAGTTGTCGACATCACGCAAGCCCTCCGATACGACTCGAGACGATTTGCTCCTAAATTTTGTGAATGAGCTGTTTGCACTGTATCGGAAACAGTGTATCATGCAGTTTCGCCGTTCGCACACGGAATATGTAAGCTCACCATTGATGGATTGACTCTTTGCACGGCCATTACTTACATATGATCACCACTTGCTCGTCTCATGCAGGGCTCGACGGAAGTCCTTGATATGCTGCAGGACGAAGACCTCTCCTCAGACATTGTCGAAAGTGAGTACTTCGTGTTCATGCACGTGATGAAGCACTTTGTCTCGCAGGTGAAAAGTGTAGACCGAAGCATTCCAATGTGTGGGCTAGCCGAAAATGCCACTGGAATTGTGGAAGGCTGCGTGCAGTTCCAGATTAAAAGTGTTTTTCGAAAAGTGCACGGGGATACTGGGACGCTCTTTGTTACTTTTTACAAAGATGTGTATGATTTGGGGCGAAACTCGCGCGATGGTGAAAAGAGCGTTCTACGTTAGCGCAGGAGTCAGCGAGAAGTCCCCGAGTAGCTCCATTCTCATTTTTGACAAAAGGTTACGCTCGAGGTTACGTTTTGACATTTGGACAGCTAAGCGCGCACCTTAACGTAGATCTTGGAATCAAATCCGGGTGAATCGATATTGCGCTATTGTCCTGTGTGCTCTCCTGATTTTGTAGTCCGTAATAGCTGCTCAAGAGTTCCTGCATGCGCGCCATGCTGTGGGCTTTCATGATAGCACCTTCACGTATCTGTCAAAAATGTCTTCTACTTGTCAATAATAACAAGAAGATAAAAGGCAGCGTTTTAATTGGTCAACGTACATTTTGACGTCAAAAAAGGGATACGATCTTATCGTCGCACACACACACTTCATTTCGATCCTTGAGAGTCACAGGACGATGAATATAAAGCGGCTGCTATGGGAGTCTAAGCTCGCAGTGGCGCTCTCTCTACTTATTATGGCGCGTTGTGTTGACCGTGTACTCTATACGTATGTGGTACACTGTGTCAATGATTGTTACATTTTAGTGATTGCTGACCGTTACGTCGAAATTGTAGACGGATTACGTACGACTACACCGAGTTTCTCTGGTATTTTACGAACGTGATCCTCCCTATCGCATTTTTAATCTCATCAGCTCCTGTTGTAGCGTACGTGGTTATAAACGAATGAACTGATGATATTGATTGTCACTAACGTTACCTGATGGGGCTTTTGTCAGCTACAAGATGTACTTTACAGGTAACAGCTCATCATGAAATCTAATCTATTTTGTTATTAGTGACTAGTTTTTGTTGCTGTAGATGACATTACGCAAGAGATGCGTGAGTTTCCTCATTACAAGTACATGCTCATGGCTCTCTTTGACACGCTTTACAACCTACTTGGTGCGTTCCCAACGCCTCACATCGGGTACGTCTCGATCATGCTGCTGGCTGATTTTCAAGTGAGAAAAGTCTTAATGTTTTATTGTGTCTGGGTAGGGGGAACATGGCCAATGTGCTGAACCAGCTAAATCTACCATTCAATATGCTCTTGTCATACATTTTCTTGCAAACGCGTTTCAAGCGCGGCCATATTTTAGGCTCCATCCTAGTGCTGTATGGGGGCATGGTGAACTTGATCCCAGCTATAACTGGTCAGGACAACGCGAACACCCCTGACCCAAGCGCGGGATGGATATCTTTGTATATCGTGTCGCTGGTGCCGGCCGCGGCTTCAAACGTCTACAAGGAGATCGGACTGAAGGACGTGGACCTAGATATCTGGTACGCCAACATTTGGATCAGCTTTTACCAGCTGATCATTGGCTCTGCCACCATTTGGACAGTGCGTATTACAGCGTTCAGTGATCCTCCAGTGCCTTGGGCGGACTTTCCATCCTATGTGGTCAAAGCCCATCAGTGTTTCATCGGCAACGAAGTTGAGCTGAACGGCAAGGTGCTTGCGTGTGATTCCGGGGTGTTGGAGGTGTTTTTGGTCTTTATCGTCTTCAACACAATCTACAACCAGCTGATGCTGTACATCTTCAAGGAAGGCAGTAGTGTTCTCTTCGTGGTCTCATCCGCCGTAGGCCTTCCTCTCACCGATTTGCTGTACATGCTTCCCTTTCTTACGGGCAAGTTCGCCGGCCAAGCGTTTACTATCTATGACGGATTTGCACTTTTTGTGCTCGTGATGGGATTACTCGTGTACCATTCTGAAAAAGAACAGCGCAAGAGTGGGACACAGTCCGTGGAGAAGTCACCCATGTATGCGTCGCCTTCGTTGCAGAAGACGCATCTCATGCGCAAGCGTCGCGGCAAAGTGGTGTACCGTCAAAGTCCAATGTTTCGGCACAGTGGAAGTGGCAGTGATGTTCGACTCTTGGGTCGTAGCGCAGCTGGTAAGAACTCCTACGGCTCCAACAGCAACACGGCAAATCATGCAGGCAACAATGTGTAAGCGTCCGAGTTTGGTTCTCTACAGCTCATTTCAGGCAGTTTATGTGAGACCAGTTTCTCTTTCACGAATGGTGCAGAGCGGTCTTAACTTTGGCACAGGGTTCACTCTATCCTCCTCCGTTGTACGGCGAGCTCCAGACAACTGCACATTTAGTATGCACATATAGGGTCATCTAAGCTGATTACAGCATCCAACAAGTTGAGCACATTCAGGTACACATTGTCTTTGTTAGAAAGCATGTGGAAAGCATTTCGCTTTAGCTGCGAGTACCTAGATGCAATATAAACTGGTTGGCCAGAGCCGTCTTTCTAGTAAACGGCGGCATCATGACTCCAGATTAGGCCCCTCATCCGCGGATCTTGGATCGAATATGGCTTGATCCATATGTGGGATTGATCCACATGATCCGTGGATGTCCATACATTGACATTGGAAATCTGGCGACCGGCAGATCATCGTATGTAGACGAACACTTCAAAGAAGCTGCCACGTGCTACGCTGGCGCACAACTTCAAACAGCGTGAGTAAAAGCGGCTAAACCGTCTAACTTCCGCGTGCGATGGTGGTGGTGTTGGTCGGCGCCGAAGCGCTGTACTAACCGTTGCCGGTCGCCTAAGCGAACTGCACAACGAACATTCAAAATAAATGCTTCACTTACGACACGCAGAAGCTTATTCAGCTTATCGTGCACAGTGAGCTACGTTTAGCAAATTCAAGACTGACTTATAATTTATAGAGAATGAAGAGATACAAATCTAGTTACTGATTGGTTAAATGTAACGATCGGATACGCGTCTCTTTAGAAACTTTCCCTACGTGCGAGCTTAGGTATATTTAAGCTCGCTGAAGACGTCTGTTTGAAGCGTCACCATGACGCCCAGTCCCAAATGGCGTCATTCTCGTTACATGTGAATCCATCAATGGATATCATACGAGGGTGGGTCTCATTGATGTGCCTCACCCAAGTGAAAGGTTTAAGGTATTACGTACCCTTTTAGACCTCCCGTAAAGTATCATATACTTAACGAGCTCGTGTAACTATCGGCCCGTTACACCAAATCCCCCTCTTGAAGACGCATTTTACACTTTTGTAAAACATCGAAAAGAGACGATGCCGCCGAAGCGTGATAAGGCTGATGGGTCGCCTGCAAAGGCGCCCATGCGGACCAACACAAAGCGTACGCGCCGCGATAACTCGCAGGCGTCGCTTAGTGTCCCTGCGACAATGCCGACATCTAATGTTATCTTGTCAGCAGAGAACACTGTTCCATCCCACTGTTGTGCGGATGAAGAGCTGTCTCTCATTGTAGATTGCAATGAGTGCATGCTATTGCGATCATCCCAAAGTTGTGATGAGCACAGTGCATTGATGGGACATATGTCCCCATCATTTGAGGTACCCAACCTTCAATGAGCTTCCATTCTTCCTGACAGTGTCTTTTTCTACTCAAACGAGAGCAGCGACTACTGAGTGCGCTACTTAAAAAAATTGGTGGCTTAACAGCAGGTCAGCGATTATAAATCGTTTGCTTCTGTTAACTTCATGTCTGCATTCTTGATAATCCATAATGGAAAGTCAGACTCAGGCGAGGGTGAGCTAAAAGCCCCTTTGACTTCATAGTCGGCCTCACTAGCACGCCGTCGCGAGGCGGCTACGTGAGTGGCGGCGTGCCACAAATGCCACCGACATCCGAGTGGTAATAGTGCGACACTCCTAGAGCGTGCCACTATTGACGCTAATAAGCTATGTAGCGTCTTTCCATCGTGGAAAAGAAAGGGCAAAGCACTAGGTCGTGCTTTCTCTATCCCAGTCGTGTTGCGTTCGAATGAAATAACCGACGTATACGAAGCAGAGCCTTGCGCCGTGTGAAATCGAATGCATATTCAGATGAACAGCGGTTGCAGCGAGTCAGCTTCGCTATGACGCGTGCGAGAGCTATTTTGGGTGGCAAATGACCCTCCAATTCGTCTCGCCTCTCTGCTCCTGCCAGTCCATCAGGACCTGGCAAAACGAGTGCAGCTGGTGTTTCTGATCGTAAGGAGACACCAGCCCAGGCACTTTGACGCGCAACGCTTCAACTGGTTCCCAAGAGTCGAGACTTTTCGGGTATCTTTTCCATTGGACAAGGATTTGAAGGTTCTGCTTCCCATGGCGGTGGGACAACAGACTTTTAACAAGGAAGTGCATTTCCGGGTACCGAAAGGACAAAGTTTTAACCCTATTAGGTCTACAGCGCTCGCGTACGAGGCTATGACCAAATAATAATCCTTCTTGTTGATTTGGGTGCATCACAGAATTTTTGTGAAGTTCGCGGCATTCAGAAAGAGTCTGGCGAGTTATGAGTCGCTTTGCCATGATGGCAAGCGAGAAAAGGCGATCGTTCGTTTATCGAACGACGCGCTCATAAAGTCAGAGGGAGCTTAAGTTGAACTCGCATTTAGTTTTAGTAACTTCTCTTGGAAAGAGAAGCTCACGGTACTAGGTATGAAGGGTTCTCTCATTCTAGGCATGACTTGGTTGACTAAACGACAACCATGGATTTACTGGCGTACAAGCACAGTCTCTAGCTCTACGCGGAAAAACGGAAAGGTTGTGCTCCTGCGATAGACCTATTCGACTGATGCTGTGTTCAACACAGTCGAGGGTACGATGACGGTATGTCAATCGACACCGATACAAAACCCAGATCGTAGAGCCTGGTGTAGCTGGAAGTTTCCTGACAGGAAGCCACGTAGCGCAAATTCCTACCCAGGTCGAGGGACTGGTGTAGTGAATGGGACGATGACAAGTAGTCATGCGTCGAATGGTCCTGCACAGAGCCGAGAGCATGTGTCAGTTGATGGTGAGCTGACAGGAAGTCAAGCGCCACAAGAACCGGCACAGAGTCTTGAGCCTAGTGTGATTTAGAAGAAGTGCGATGGCCATGACCCACTTTCAGGTCAAAGGTCGTGGTGACTCGAAGAACGAGCACCAGACGTATCAAGACGATCAAGGGCATGTCGATACTAGTGACCCTTGGATCGGTCTCGGTACAAGAGGACGGGCCTATGAACTAGATGTTCGAGGTCGTCGAAAACAAGATGCCGGAGGCATCTTCAGTAGAGGTGCTCCAAATTGTCTTGGCATCTCTTGAGGAGATAGTTAATTTCTCGGAGATAACGTGAAATCTATCCCTGTCCAGCCGCCAACCGTCCGATAGGAGCATCAGGCGCAAGATTGTACCTGGAGCCTGGCACCAAGTATTGTGTGACCAGGCAATGCCCGTTGCCGAAGGAACAAGTCGATTACATCGATGAGTTCTTTGACAAGCAAGCTAAGGCGGGACATGTACGTGAGAGCAAGTCGCCTCACAGCATCCCGACCTTCTGTGTGCGTAATGCAACAGGTAGGTGGCGCGTGGGTTATGCTTATAACAAGCTGAACACGGCCACCATTCGCAAACGCCGATCTAACGGGAAGATGTCTTGTTGAATTCCATGGTAAAGTCAACTATATTTTCCGCGTTGGATGTGAAGGATGGCTACTATCAAGTTCTCATGATAGATACTGATGTAGCCAAGACTGCAGTAAGCACCCCAATCGGTATGTTGTGGGAGTGACTTGTGATGACACAAGGATTGAAAATTCTCGGTCAATATTCATTTGAGTGGTGCCTCACGTAATGCGTCAGCACCGTGCCTACGCGCCCCATTACTTTGACGATGTATTCGTGCATAGTAGGGAGGAGGGCGGTATGAGCGAAATAGAGTCGAGCAAGCGCCATTGAGACGCTGTGATGCAGAATATGGGTGAAGACAAGCTGTACGTTAGCTTGCAAAAGTGCGTAATTGGAGTCCTTGAGATACGCGCCCCATTACGTTGACGTTCATAGTAGGGCGGAGGACGGTCTGAGCGCGATAGAGTTACACAAGCGCCATTTAGACGCTGTGTTGCAGTCTCTGGGTGACGCCTAATTATACGTTAGCTTGCAAAAGTGCGTAGGTGTCTCCGAGATACCTGTGCTGGGCTGCATCGTAGGTACACATGGTGTACGAGCAGACCCAGAAAAGGTCGAGGCTATCAAGAAATGGCCAGTCCCACGACACGTGAAGGATCTGCGCCAATTATTGGGCTCGCTAAATTACTTGCATAAGCACAGCAAGAATTATGGGGAGCAGACTAAGCCATTGTCTGCCCTTTTGAAAAAGAATGCAGAAAGGACTTAGTCAAAGGAGCAAGAAGATGCGTTCATATCAGTGAAGCAATATCTTGTAGAGGCACCGGTCTTGGCATTGTCAGCGGATAAGACCTTTAGCGTCGTCTGCGATGCAAGCATTTTGTAATCGGCAGCGCGCTCATACACAAGGATAAAAGCGGCGTTGACCGTGTAATCTCGTATCATTTTCGGCTTTTAAAAGCTGCCGAGATGAATTACCCTGTGCATGACAAGGAGCTACTTTCAATCAAGTATGTCCTTGTAGAGTTTCGGGTGCACCTCTTGGGCACCGAACCTTTGTGGTTTATACGGATCACGTATCACTGCGGACCGCTATAAATTCACCGCACCTCTCGCCAAAAATGGCAAGATGGCTAACATTCTTCTCTGATTTAATTTCAAAGTTGAATATAAGCCAGTTAAGTCGAATGTCTTGGCTGACGCGTTATCGCGCAGACCAGAATTCGAGGCAAGACACCAGGAAATTGTGTCTAGTGCGAAAGCACAAGGTGAGTCGTCAATATTGGAAGCCATGAGGGCCTACGAGCTCAATGTCTCCGATATAAAGAAGTGTTACAGTCAGGACGAGCATTGTCGCCTGCTGCTGGATCATTTTGGTGGACGAAAGGTTACCCTTCCGTCGCAACTCAAAGAGAAGTTAAATCGCTTTAGTTACAGTGATGGCCTACTATGTCATCAACTGTCACCCTGTGATCCCTTGAGAATCTATGTCCCTCATGACACAGATCTCAAGCTGATGATACTTCACGAGTGCCATGATGCGCCATCTAGTGGGCATCTAGG